GGTCTAGTGAGTAATATTGCTTAACATATACATCATAGTGCATTATCATCAATGATCCGATGGCATTGATCAACTGCTATGGTATATTGAATAACTTCAAATTTGGCTCTGTTTGAAGTCCACTCTCATATAATTCAACTTCTTTAAAATTCTAGAGTTAATCTCTATCGTATCCCGACACTCTTGATCAACTTGATTAGGAGTAACTCTAGTGTGTGGATCAAATTTTGCTCTTGACTCTAACTCTTGGTCAAGTTATCGATCTTGACCCACCTTAATAATATGGCCAAAGAAAAATGAAAACCCTAATGCTAATTTTAAGTGCCTTTAATACCAAGTTGCACTTAGACACTACCTTGTCCTTAACCTTCAAGAATATCCCTGCCATACAAAGAATCCAATCATTTGGGACAAGAAAACCAAGTGTCTTTAATGTGACTAACCATTTTGTTCTAATCATTGCAAAACAAATTTAGGTACACGTTCCATATATCCATCAATCACCAAAACACAGACCAGAAACCTCAATGCATTTAGTTTTTTAGATAATAAAGCCTTATTCTTCTTTTCCTCTTCTCCTACCAATATAAGTTTATTTCTCCTATCAGTTAATTTAATAAAATAAGGTATTTTTCCTCTTTGATGAAAAAAGCAAAAGAGGCACCTTAACTAGGAAATTTAGAATTAGTTCATGATCAAGATAATACACAAAAAGTTGTTGTTCTCCGAAAGAACTAAACTAAAATAAGGCACATTTCATCGTTGTATGCAAGTAGAACATTTTTTAACACTACAACAAAAATTTGTAGACATGAAATTGCTTGTTGTGATGTGTTATCTTTGTTGTTTGACCTCTTACAGTCTTAACGCAACATTGACCTTACAGACTTTTTTACATTATTGTCTCACACTCCTATCTATAAATGTAAATACATGTCTACAATCTCTCATAGAGCATATCTATATCGATATAGATAGATGTACATAAATTTCTTTCATTCTTCCGTCCTCATTCTCTTTTTCATTCGTCTGTCTCTTATGCTCCTTGTCGCTCACTCAACCGACACAACGTCGGTTACAGTCTAACACCACATCACTGATATTATGGTCTTGCTTCCGAGCCCGTGCCCATTGTCTGTCACTTCCATCCTTCTCCAACTGTTGAAACTAGATAATTTTGGTCATCTGGCTAGTTTAATGGTTGTTTTATATTTCTACAGATAATAAAAGTCTAGTTTAATTAAAATTAATAACTAACTTGTTTTAAACCAAAAATATGAAACTAAGTACCAACTTCCTTTAAAAATGTATGTATTTGTTGATGCTCTATATGGAGTTATTTAGATTTATTTGGTTTAAACAAATAATGAGCACGACTATGAGAAATAAAATAATATGTGCAAAAAATAAATTCTAAATAACTGTAAATAGATTAAAAAAGGTTGGCAATATTTTTAGAAATAAAAATGGCACTAGCTTTGTATTTTTCTGATTTAAAATAAATTAGCAATGAAATTTTAAATATTAAACCAAACTTTCTTATTTCTACAAAATAGAAAGCACCTTTCAGTTAAGGACGTTCGATACCTGGCTCCGTAGTTCAATGTTAAAGATCAGTCTGACGTTCAAGTCGAATGTTGAAAATAGACATTACCCTTATATATCACTAGGTTTCGTGTCCGTGCGTTGCTACGGGATAGCTAACATTTTATATTAAAAGCACATGAATCGCACGATAAGATAACAATACTGTAAAAAATTAAATACCAACATTAAAGTAACATTTAATAAAGAGCATCTCGACAGGACTTGCATGGAGCGCGTGGCTGGACCGATCTGCAACAACAAACATTCTCGGGGACTAGAGCACGTAGCACTAGTAGAGTGGGCAACAAGAAGATCCTTTTGCGCGACGACCCAATCTGACCCGATTTCCGTGGGTCGACCACCAAAACCCCCCAAAAAAGCAGCAGCAATAAGAAATGGAACACGACCGCGTGGTGTGGCTGCTTCTGGGAACCACCGGCTGCCCGAGCGAGCCAGCATCAGCATGCAGAACACTCGAAGCATCTGAATGACTGCATTTCCTACCCCCGACGCTGTTTTCACCGCACGACCGACCACTTCACCTACCTGCCTGCCTGCCTGCGTGTGAAGCATTGCACCTCCCGCTGCTCACGGATCAGCACGCGACGGCACCACGCCTTTGTCCATTTGTTCTTGGATACCGACACAAATTTGTCAGGTCTTTCTGAGCCTGCTGTCCGGCAACAGCAAGCAGCGACGCCTTTCTGCTCGTCGGAAAGGAAGCAATCAAACGGGGAAAAAAAGGCTCTTGCGATTTTTGCAGCGGGGTCCGATGGGAGAGCGAGAACAGTGCTTGTGAATCGCGATGGATGGTAACAGGCCCAAGTGGGCCGGCGCCGGCAGCGGCAAGCAATCTTTTTAAGCTAGCGGGCGGGGGCGGCAAGTGAAGAAGCTCTGCCTTCCACTCAAAAAAAAAAAAAAGTGGAGAAGCTCTGCCTTCCCGGCGAAGTGCCACCAATGTCGCCGCCGTGTATACTGTATAGGCAAGTGTTTTTTTTTATAAAAAAAACATTACTGTATAGGCAAGGTAACGTGGAGTAGCTAGGCAATCAACATCCGGGATTGGGGAAAGGTTAGAATTCGTCACGTTGTACTCCTAAGTCCGATCACGAAGCAAGTAGGTAAGCGAGCGTGGCACGCAGAATTAGTGACGTGGCGACCGACACACAACATGCACACCCACAGTTAGTACTACTTCCATCCTGGAAATAATACAATTATAAATTACGTGCCATGAAAAGTGGTTTATTTTTTATCAAGTTTTTAGTGAATAATATTCACATTTATGTCTTAAAATTGATTTATTATGAAAATACATTTCATAATTAATCTGATGATATTTATTTAGTATCATAAATATAGATATTTTTTATCTATAGTTGGTCAAACTTAAGTTACTAGAACATGATACTGTGCTAGAATTGTATTTTTTTAGGACGAAGGTAGTACATGGTAACATACCTGTTGATTCCCTCCATTCAAAATTATAAGATATTTTAAGGCTTTTTAGATACTTAGTTTTTTTATACATTTAGATTCACATTATGTCTAGATATATAGGAAAAACAATAAAAAAACCCTCAAAACATCTCATTATCTGGAACAGAGTTAGACACCACGTCACCACATATGATAAATTATTGGCAGAGATCTCGTTTAAATTTATATGGTGGTGGTGCGATGCTAGAGATATCGCTGAACTTATTCAACGTCTTAGAGTTCCTATGTTACCACAGTAAGGTTTATGATACATTAGGTCATAGCACATGTAGTAATTAATAGATACATATTCTTTTAGGTACCGGAGTATGCCCCCATGACTTCCGCTCAATTGAATTCGGGGCCATTAGGTCATAGCACATGTAGTAATTAATAGATACATATTCTTTTTTATGCCCCATGATTTCGCCATTGTTGGCCTCAGGTCCCGCCAAAGTTGCCTCAGTGCCGCCAGTGCCGCCTACCCTCACTTCGCCACTAAATTCGAGCCCCCCTGACCATCCACTCGAGATTTTGCTCTCCCTATCACCTCCTCCATTCACGCAGCCTTCCAAGCGCCCTCCGCCAAAGCCCCATCTTCCCATTGCCTCCACTGTTGCCACACCATCCCCTTTAGCACGCCTTCCCCATTGTCCTCATGTGCGCGTCCTCTTGGTAGCCCTCCACACGAGCGGTAGAGCTCGCCATCATGCAGGGAGATGATGGAGGGTCGCCCTCATGGCAGTAGTTCGTCTTGCAAGGCCAAATTTCACCTTCGCAAACCGTCCCTCTGCATGGAACTCGACCTCCCTTGATTACTTGTGGCAGTGGAGGGAGCAATAGTGCCCATGGCGGTGGCAAGGCCATGCAAGGAGGTAGGGGGCTCAATGGTTGTGGGTGGGGATATGCATAGGTGGGGATGAAAGACGAGAGAGAAAAAGAGAAAAAAGAAAATGTTATATGCGATCGATAAATGGGTCATACAAAAGCAAGAGTCTTAGTTTATGACTACTACTAGTTGAGTCAAGAAAATAGACCTCTCAAAACTACTATATTAGCAAAACATAATCAAAATTAGTTAGGTGTGACAATTGGACCCGCAAGCACCTGATAGAGTGCAGTGCAGGTGCCAAACACATGTGGTGAGTCTTATTAGATCGGGGCTCGAAATAAATGAGGGTGGGTGCTAAATCGCACATGCAGAGTGCTTATTGGGGCCTAAAATCTTTGGAGCATCACATGTAACTCTTTATGTTTGGGAACTCTTTCTGCTAATTAAAATCTTAGCCCATGAATCCATTTATTAGTAGATATATATTTTTAATATAATCAACAACCCTTTCTGCTGATTCTTTATTAAAACAAAAGGTTTGCACTCAACTCTTGCGAAGATCCACATGCAAAGGAGCGGAAAGTCTGCAGTGTCGTGGTCAACCGGCACAAGCACTGAAGCACAGCATCAAAGACCTGGCCTTCACCATCATTACTGGTCATCACCCGACGCGGCCGTGAGACGTCTCCACGCCTCCACGGCAACGCGCGGCGCACCGGCGGAGACGTGCGGCCCGTGCCGCGTGCGCCGGCAGCGTGAGCCACTCATCGCTCGTCATCATCAGAGTCGGCACGGAAGCCCAACCAAGCAGCGCCCGCCCGTTCCCGAGGCACCGGCCAGCGGGCCCACCCGGCAGCGTCTGGCCGGGTCGCTCGTGTCCACACGCGAGCGAGCGAAGCGCCCCGAAACATCCACATCACGCACGCAACGCAACCGCAACCGCAACCGCAGCGGCCCATTTCCCCGGCTCGAGACGTTCGCCTTCTCCCTCCTCAACTCACCTCAGCTCAGCCTGCAGCCAACCAACTCGAGCCCTCGACGACGCACTCGCCCGAGAGAAAAAAAGGCAAAGCCCTAGCCCACTCCGGCGCGCCACCGGCTGATGGTTTCGATGAGCACCACGCCGAAGCCGCTCGACTCCGCCGCCGTCGCCGGTGGAGGCAGAGGCGGGGACGAGGGTGGAGGAGGCGGCGGCGGCGGCGGGAAGAAGCAGGTGCGCGGGGCGGCAGCGGCGGCGGTGATGGCGCCGCCGCCGATGGCGGTCCCCGTCCCGGTCCCGGTCGCGGCGCCCGCGGCGGGGGAGGATGTTCGGAAGGTCAGGAAGCCGTACACCATCACCAAGTCGCGGGAGAGCTGGACGGAGCCCGAGCACGATAAGTTCCTCGAGGCCCTGCAGCTGTGAGTGCGCCGATCCCCTCTGTGCTCCCCCTGTAGTCGATTCGAGGATAGGTGGTGCCGTTTCTATGAGAGTGGTAGCGGTTACTTGCTCCGTTGTGTAGTTGGATTTGTCGCCTGCCTCTCCTGAAAATGCTAAATTCCGCTGCACGGCTCCTGCAAATGCTAAATTTGGCTAGTTTACGTGCTGCTTCTAAATGGAGGCGATAGGTTCTTTGTTAGTTTTGTCTGCTGGTTCTAATTTGATGGAGAATGTTTCTGTTAACGTGTTAGATATCAGTGGTCATTGTTGGGGGCACCTATGTTCATCTTCTGGTGAATCTTAGCTTTTGATAGGTTTGTCGTGGCATATGTTGGTGCACTTTTTTCTTGTAAGTGGCAATGTTGTGTTTAGTTCAATGCACGGTGATTATTTTCTCCAATCTGGCAGAGAGGATGTCCTTTTAGACTGCACTTAGATATTTTAATGGGACATTTGGATGTTGCACGATCCCATTTCATTGGAACCTTTTAAAGGGTGCCAGTGCACGTTTAAGGATCTCCTCCCCTTGCAAAGTTTTTCTTTGTCCTCTAGCCAGGCTAGGCAAGGTTAGATAAATCAACCAAACACATCCAATGTGTTTGAGTATCTATATTCTTTTCCTGTGATTGTTTATAGTTTGTAAATTGTAAGTGATGCTACTGTGAGAAGTTGAATGATTTAATGACATTTCTCAGTTCTTTTTTTTTGTTTCCTTGTTGTAGTTTTGATCGTGATTGGAAGAAAATTGAAGCATATGTTGGCTCAAAGACTGTTATACAGGTAGCCACCCTAAGGCCTAAACTATAGTTCTCAAAGTGCTTGTGATCTTTAGCTACAGGCATTCGGTAATGATTACTTTGTAATCAATCTGTGCTTTATAATGTCCTCAATCTATAAAAAATGTTCCTTTGACAGATAAGGAGCCATGCACAGAAGTACTTCTTGAAGGTTCAGAAGAATGGTACGGGCGAGCATCTGCCCCCACCCAGGCCAAAACGAAAGGCAGCTCATCCATATCCACAGAAGGCATCTAAAAATGGTTTGTATTATTCAAGGACCTAGCTGTTTGGCATGATTTTTTTCTAGTTAATGAGTGATGACTGGATTTATTTAGATCCCGCAGTTTCTCAAGCTATTTTATCACAACAACAACCTACCCAGAGGGAGCAAGGTTCTGTCATGCCTATGGATACTGCTACTGTGAGAAACACAAATGCAAATGTGGCGGTGCCTTCCTGGGACAATACTCTTGCTCAACCTTTTAGTGCTGGTCATGTTCAAGGTCTGTGTTACTGTGTAATCATTGTGACCTGCATGCAAAAATAAATGACTTGTGGAGGCAATTATAACTTTTCACATATTGTTGGTGCAGGTGCCGTTGCAACAAATAACTGTTCAAGTAGCATAGAGAGTCCATCCGGTACTTGGCCATCTTCTGAAGCAGTTGAGCAAGAAAATGTGGTTCCACCACTCCGTGGTGAGCACTCCCTTCTGCAGCATGCACTCTGCAAATCTACCTTGCAATTGTTCTGTGCATGGCCTAAGTGTTTGGTCTTGGAAAATTAGAAACATTTGTCAACTGCAGTTTCCACCCGCATGTCAGATTAAATTACATTCTGTCGCACTTAGGTACCTAGGTGCTTAGAATAACACAAACCTTTTGCCAACTGCATTTTCCTTCATCGCATCAGATTAAATTAGCTATTGTCCTAAAGATAAAGAGTGAATATTCCTTGGTCGGTTGAAATTAAGTTTGTCAAATTAGTAGGCTTTGATATCTTCGCATACAAACCATTTCTGTATTAAGGTTGTGCTATGCTACTAGATTTTGGTTTGTATTCTGACTCTTAGGTCATTACTATTGGATTTGGAGAAGAAACCTTTTTGTGTGTGTGTACGAAGTACTGGGGATCTGAGTTGCTATTTTACCCGTTTGTATATATATTAAAGCTATTAAGAACATAGCCCTTTCAAGCATAATCATGTCCAATTGTGTCATCTCAAATATATTGGAGCGACTCAAGGAACATGTCCAATTTAATAATCTCAAGCCCCTCGAGGGCTGGAGGTGCTTGGGCTTGTCCTTCTAGCCATGCCGGTCAAACATAAAAATAGGAGTATATATTATTCTTACTCTTTGATATCTTCCACCGGGAACCTCTCCTTGATTCCAACATAAACTTATATGCTAGTTACACATTGAAAGCAAATATGTCTCGGGATTGATAGATTGATTATCAAGAGTACAAGGTACAATATATATATATATATAGGCAAGGATCCGGAGGGTTTATATAAACACCCAATCAACGGTGATCCTTGCCTTATCAATCTAACTTAACCCCTAAGGCACTAGCCGCATGGGCCTTAACACCAGGCCCATAACAGCCCTATCAGGCGCCTATGCTAACACGCCCCACAAATGAATCGTCATCCACTGCACGCTTAGATCGGACTGAACTCCATGAACACCGAGGTAGGCAGCCCTTGGTGAAGATGTCTCGCATATTGCGAAGAGGTGGGAACATGCACGAAACACGAAGGTCACCAATGGCGACTCACTCCGGACGAAGTGAAGATCAATCTCGATGTGCTTGGTGCTACCGATGTTGCACCGGGTTGGAGGTCATGTAGACGGCACCGATGTTGTCGCGAAGACACCAAAGGTGGTGGCGCGCCAAGAGGGGCATGCAACTCTAGGAGAAGTGGCGAGCCAAGTTGCCTCTGCAACTCCGTTAGCTATCTGTGCGATATTCAACTTCAAAGACTTGATCTTGATATCGTGTTCGGGCGCTTGGAGGACCAAGAAACAAGATTGTCACCAAGGAACACCTTTGCAGCCCGAGGTGGACTTGCGAGTGTCCGGACAACCACCCCAATCGGCGTCGGTGTAGACGACAAGATCGGTCGAAGTGGAAGGTCGAGCAGGAGACCGAGGTGGAGTGTGCCGAACATAGCGAAGGATCCGCTTCAGAAAGCGGCCGAGGTGAGGCTCCGAGGGTCGTGCATGTGAAGACAGACACTCTTTGAGCAAGCATATGCAATGTCTCGGGCGGGTGAATGTCAAGCAATAGAAGGGCTCCAACAAGATCATGGAAGTCGGTAGCATCGGACATTGGGCCCCTCAAAGAGTGACAACCTTAGGATTGGTGTCCACTTGGAGTAGAGCATGGCTTGCACTCACCATTTCGGTAGCGATCGAGGATATCCAAAGATGTATCGTTGTCATTGTGAGAGCAGAAGTCCATCACCACTTCATTTGAACATGCATGCCGAGGAAGTGATGTAGTTCACCAAGATCTTTCATGGCGAATTCTCGATGAAGTGCTGAGATGATCCGCCGAAGAAGGTCTGATGATGAAGCTGTGAGGACAATGTCGTCAACATATAGCAACAAGTAGGCTGTGTCGGAACCACGATGGTAGATGAAGAAGAGAGGGTGTCGACTTGGCTTCAACAAACCCAATGGACAGCAAGAAAGTAGCCATTCGACTGTACCAAGCACGAGGAGCCTGCTTCAGGCCATAGAGTGATTTCTTCAGAAGGCAGACAAAATCCGGATGAACTGGATCTTCAAACCCGGATGGCTGCTGGCAATACACCGTCTCAGTCAAATTGCCATGAAGAAAGGCGTTCTTCACGTTCACGGTGGTGAATGGGCAATGACGGAGAGAAGCGCCAAGGACAAAGACGTCTGCGAACGGTAGCCGGCTTCACCATTGGGTGAAGGTTTCATCAAAATCCACACCGGGCCGCTGGGTGAAACCACGGAGGACCCAACGTGCCTTGTACCGCTCGAGGGAGCCATCAGACTGAAGCTTGTGCTTGAAGATCCACTTCCCAGTGACAACATTGGCCGGGGCGGACGGGGCACAAGATCCCAGGTGTGGTTCTGCAGGAGAGCACTGTGTTCTTCCTCCATAGCCGCTCGCCAATTGGGATCGGCAAGAAGCGCTACGGAAGGTCTTGACACCGAGAGAGTGGCACAAAGACATGGTAGGCAAAGAGCATCCGGAAGCCGCTCTTGAACGGGTGCCCATAGAGTCTTTGGTTGGCCACCGGAGGGGGACAAGAATCGCGCCCTTGGGCAGCGGGCGGCCGCCGCAGGACCGATGAAGAGGCCGCCGGCAGCATGGGCTCTGCTGCGCAGAACCGTGCAGAGCCGCTGGGACGACCGGTGGAGGTCGCGGGCGACGCGAGTAATGGTACGTGAAGTCGCGGGCCGAGTGAAGCGGTGGAAATCCGGTGGAGCCAGCTGGGCGCCTAAGGAGGGCGAGGGAAACCCCGCGGATCGCGCAGGGACGCCGAGTCAGCCTTGCTTGGCTGGCAGGACGGACGACAATGGCCATGGGGACGTCTTGCCGACGACGACTTGGCCGGTCTTTGGGGCAGCGCGTGGGCGGGAGGGAGCCGCATGAGGGACCGCGTGGCGTGGGAGGGCTTCTGGCGCTGCTCGTGGCAGCTGCTGTGGCGCGGAGGGGATCGCCCGTGGCCGAGCGCAGCGGGATGTAGAGCGCCGCACCGGACGTTGTCAAGAGCCTCGGGCGCGCCTGTGCACGCGATCCGAAGGACCTGGCAGGGGCGCTGGTCTCATCAGGAAGTGCCCCAAGCTCGGCCACACGAGGACCGGCAGGGGCAGCAGGAACATCGGAGGTGTTGGGAGACATGCCTGCAGGAAACAACGTGCGAGGGTCAATAGGAGTTGGCACAACATCATCGTAAAATCAAGAAACTCGAGTTCCATTTGGATTCTTTCGGGGCCATGACGCCTTTCGGCAAAGGAAAGGCCGTTTCATCGAAGATGACGTGCTCGGAGATGATAACTCTATTCTTTGGAGAGGTCAAGGCAGCGGTATCCTTTATGGTGGGCGGAGTAGCCTAAAAAGACAGAGAGCAGACCTAGGAGCGAGTTTATGAGGAGCGGTGGCAGACAGGTTGGGGTAACACTTGCAACCAAAGACCCGAAGATGATCATATGTAGGCAGCTTTGCGAATAGTGCAAAGTGAGGCGTAGAGAACTGGAGAGTCTTGGTAGGCAATATGTTGAGGACAGTGGCAGTGGAGAGGGCCTCCACCCAATAGGAGGGAGGCATGGACGCCTGAAAGAGCAGTGAGCGAACAACATTATTAATGGTACGAATAATGCGTTCAGCTTTACCGTTCTGAGGCGAGGTGTAGGGGCAGGACATGCGAAGATGAATGCCCTGAGCGAGGAAGAAGTGGCGAGTGCTCGAATTGTCGAACTCTTTCCCATTGTCGCACTGGACAGATTTGACACGTGTGTCAAACTGAGTGGAGACGTGGGCGAGGAACTGGGCCAGCGTGCTGAAAGTGTCAGATTTGAGTCGCAGAGGAAATGTCCACAAGTAATGAGTGCAGTCATCAAGTATAACCAAGTAATATTTATAACCAGAAACACTGACAACCGGAGAGGTCCACAGATCACAGTGAATAAGATCAAACTTGCTAGACGCACGAGAGGTGGACGAATAAAAGGGCAATCGAACATGACGCCCTAACTGACAAGCATGACACAAATCTGAACAATCACTAATATGACGCGAGGTGCTGGACGCAAGTTTGGACAACGCCTCATGGCCGGGGTGGCCAAGTCGCCGGTGCCACAGCGGGGAGGAGTCCTGGGCGACAAGGGAATGAGCAGGAGGTAGGCGCAGGGGGTATAGCGGCCCGGAGCTATTGCATCTGACGATCTCGGTCCGGGAGGGAAGAACCTTCACAGAACAACCAGCGGGGTCAAACTCCACAGAACAATTATTGTCGATAGTAAATTGGCGAACAGAGATGAGATTCTTAATAAGTTGTGGTGACACAAGAACATTATTAAGACGTAAAGAGGAGGGCAACTCTGTGGAGCCAGTGGTGGTGACAGGCATGATAGAACCATTACCTACGACAATAGATGAAGGAGTAGGATACCGCAAAGGAAGAATATGTGAAAGAGAGGAGGACTGAGAGGTCATGTGGGAGGTAGCACCTGAGTCGAAGTACCAGTCACTGGACGGAGGTGGAGTCAGGGACGTGGTACTGAAAGCGGAGGCAAGCGCCGTCGGATCCCAGGAGGGAAGGCCGGCCACGGGGTTGTAGTACCCGGGGGCGACCCAGTGTGCGGCGCCGTCGGGTGCAGCGGCAGCAGCCTGGCTGTGGGTGACGAGCGCCTGCTGCTGCTGCTGCGCGAGGAGCGCCTGCTGCTGCGCCTGCTGCTGTTGCGCCTGTAGATGAGGGGGCACCAGGATCGGCGCCAGCGGAGGGCGGGGGCCTCCGGGCCACATCTGGATGGTGCCCGTCCAGGGATTGTAGTAGCTGGGCCAGCGTCCACCGGGAGTAGGCTGCTGCTGCTGCTGGCCGGTGGGCTGCTGCTGGTTGTGACCAGCAGAGGGGCGCGGCCCCTGGCCACCGCCACCGCCGCCAGCGCTGCCACCGCCTTTGCCGCTGCTGCGCTTGTTGCGGCGATTGTTGGAGGACTTGGAGCCACCCCAGCGCTACCGGAGCCCGAGCCGAAAGACGCAGGGGTGGTGCTGTTCGCCGTAGAGGTAGCAGCGAGAGCGGTGGCGGGAGCATCCTTCCTGTTCTCCAAGGTGAGTTCCTCAAGGATGAGGTCGTCGCGTGCCTCCAGGAAGGAGGGGAAGGGACGTGTGCGACGGAGGAGGGTGCCGACGTGGCTGAAACGCTCGTTGAGACCGCGAATGACGTTGAGGACAAGGGTCCGGTCAGTCACGGCCTCGCCGAGGGCGGTGAGATCGTCCGCCATCTTCTTCAACCGGCGACAGTAATCGGTGACGGAGAGGTCGCCCTGGATGAAGTTCCGAAAGCGCGTCTCCAGGTGGATGGAGCGAGCCTCCCGGTTGCCGAGGAACTGAGACTCGACGGCAAGCCAAGCATGGCGTGCGGTGGAGCCTTGGGCAGAGATGATCTCCGCCAAGTCGTCGGTGAGGGTGGCGATGATCCAGGCCTTGACGACGCAGTCCATCCGATCCCAGGTAGGAGAGATAGGGACTGGAGGCTCCGCGTGGACATGATCCCGAAGGGAGAACTTGCCAAGGATGAGCAAGAACTGATCACGCCAGCGGTTGAAGTTGCCGGAGTCGACGTCAAGGACCGTGGTGACGTGATTGCGGATGTTGTTCACGGCGACGGCCTGGGAGTGGAGCTGCAGCAGAGCCACGGCCTCATGATGGAGGAGGGCGGCGCGCAGATCGGTAGGTGGAGGAGGGCCGCCAGGGGTCGTGCCAGAAGATTCTGGTGGCGCCATGACGGCAGCAGCGGCCGCGTGTGCCTGGGCCGCGCGAGCCAGGGCGGAGCTGGCGCGCTGAGCGGCCTCGTCGCGGGCCTTCGCGGCGGCGGCGGCGGCTTCCTCCTCGGCCTCCTGAGCGCGGGCAAGGGCTGCGTCCCGGGCGGCCACGCGTTCGCGCTCGATGCGCTGGGCATCGGCGGCGGCAGCGTTGGCGCGCTCCTCTGCGGTGCGCTGGGCGATGGCGTCGTCCTGGATGGTGGCAGAGGAGGCGTCGGTGACCCTGGGAGAGGAGGGAGAGGTAGGCGACATGGTGCAGGGGAGGGTGCAGAACGGCAAAGAGAAGCCGACACGGGGGAGGGTGGACGCGCGCGACGGAGTGTCGGCGGCGCGGAGGCAGCGGAAGAGAGGTCCCCTGACCTAGGCGTCAGATACCATGAAAGCAAATATGTCTCGGGATTGATAGATTGATTATCAAGAGTACAGGGTACAATATATATATATATATATATCCGGAGGGTTTATAGAAACACCCAATCAACGGTGATCCTTGCCTTATCAATCTAACTTAACCCCTAAGGCACTAGCCGCATGGGCCTTAACACCAGGCCCATAACAGCCCTATCAGGCGCCTATGCTAACACACATCATCATATCTTTAAAGTGGATCTCTTAGTGTGAATGCATTTCTTCCTTCACTGCAAATGTATCTTACTTTTGCTTCTCTGTGGTTACACATGCAGCCATGCCAGATTTTGCCCGAGTATACAGCTTCCTAGGAAGCATATTTGATCCTGATACAAGTGGGCATTTGCAGAGGTTAAAAGCGATGGATCCAATTGATATTGAAACGGTACTTCTTCTATATATATGCTCAACTTTTTGGTTCTTTTCATGCATTTCACAAGCATCTTGCCTTTCTTTGTTTGTTATGTGTCCCATTTCAAAGCTTTTACAATTTCTGTGCATAACTATCGTTTCTATTTTCTAGCTTCTGCTGCTATCTTGGCTAGTCCTGGCTCTTATTTAATATAGCTGGGGGCTCATACACTCAGAACATTCTTGAGTTTTAGATATAGTTCCTAAATATTCTGAATCTATCAGTGTTCACTAAAAATCATCCGCACTTCCATAAGTAATGTCAGTAAGGTGTTAGTTAAGTTTCACCAAAATTTTGCTTTGGTCTTACTATCCTTGAAATTAGAACTGCCTGGTCCTTTTAGCTCCAAATATAGAAATCTAGTTCTCATTGTCTTCATTTCTGCTTGTTTTTATTCACAAGAACATTCAAGTATTTCTCCCTGTGTTAAAAAAAAAACTTGGCTTTTGGGCACATGGTCTCCAATATGTATGGAACTATGGATGTACCTATGATCATGTTTTTATTACTATAATAGATTGTAGAATCAAATAAAAATATGATATTATGGAAGTGCTTTTCAAGGCAAATCACAGATTATTTGTCATGTTTCCAAACAAAATAAATTATTTATAGTCAGTGTCAAAAGGTTTGACCACATTGTGAAAAAAAATCGGTATTTGTGATCAAAGGAAGTATATTATTTAACTTTGAATTCCTGTAAGCGTCTTCTGTTCTTTTCCATTCAAGATTGAGAATTTTTGGAGTCTTGATTGTCCCTAGGATTGTTAATATTTGGCTAATTCAATATGAGTGATTTGACATTGATCATTGGTCTGTTGATTGGCATACACAGGTACTACTACTAATGAGAAATCTTTCCACAAACCTTAGGAGTCCTGACTTTGAGCAACATGTAAGTTATTTGGTTTCTTCATTCCTCTGATCTGCTCAGATCTCTCTGGAAACTTTTGCAGCTTTTAGTCATGTAAGCGTGCTATGGATGATATTTCCGTTTTGTGTTATTACTACCATTAGGCTTGCCATGATTTTGTCCAGTACAGTTATATGCTGACTAATTCAACGTTTCAAAGATGGGTCACAAAGCCCACTCAGGCAGACTTGCTGGGTGCCATTGTATGTCTGCCGAGTGCCTAGTGCTTTTTAAAACTTCACTGACCATAATGATCTCTTTCAGATTGTGTTCCAGTTATTGCGATTGGTATTTTAATACCCTGTAACTCCTTGAGATTCCATCATGTGCCTCATAACAATTATGGACATTACCTGGCCTTCTTAGTGTAGTTAAGGACCGATAATTTTAACATTTTTTTGTAAAAAATATGTTAACCTGTAAAATTTCCAATCACAAATACTTCTCTGTGTAAGAAATAACCTCAAAATGCATGATTATGTTGATAATGGCATTTTTTACATTTTTATACATAGACACTTTGGTGCAGTGGTGAGAGCTATCTCACTGAGTCACCGGGTCACGGGTTCGAAGCAGCCTCTCCGCGGATTTTGCGGGGGGAAGGCTTGCCTCGGTTTTTCCCTTCCCCAGACCCCACTCATGTGGGAGCCTCCGGCACTGGGTCTGCCATTTTTAGACACTTTGCAATAGTATTTGAATTGTTCTTTACTTATACTGCTCTTTTCCAAAATGCTGACTGATTTACTATCTGATTACAGCGGAGGTTGCTATCATCATATAGCTATGGTGGTGGGGACCATGTTAAATCTGAAGGCATGGAAAATCATGGATCTCCTCAGAGTGGCCATCTTCCATTCCTGTAAATCTTCTGCCACTCCCTGTTCATGTGTGGTTATGACATCAGCACTGCCATCTTGACTAGCCCAATTTGCAATTGCCAGGGTAACAAGTGAATGAGAGCACACTGCCAATTTGCGGTCGAAGCTTTGGTTCCATGAGGACATTCCTGTGTGCTCTCAGCATTGGAGTTGTGGACGTCTGGTCTGGCAGTTTATGAATGCTAGAGACATCGTGGCAGTGACGTCTGGTCTGACCCTAGGCTAGTTTTGCTTTTCACGTTCATGTAGATAGCCAGTTTTGTGTGCTCATGCAATTCTTTTCCTGGGTGGGGCCAAGATCGATATGTTTTTTGTTACACACTTGTGCTCGCGTGTATGTAAATATATGTGGAATCTTGTAATGCTTGAGGTACTTGGAGTCTTTGGTTAGGACAGCATGTATACGCAATAATCAGGAGATCACCGTCATCTGACTAAATAATGAAAAATGTTTTAGTTGTGGACCTGTCTAAAACTGCCCTCTAGTAAAGTTACATACTCCATTCGTCTCAAAATATCTATCGTTTTTGTTTTCTAAGAAACAACTTTGAAAAATATATATTAAAAAAATATTAATATTTATGGTACATAATTGATATCATTAGAAAAATCTTTGAATCTAGGTTTTTAATAAATTTATTTAGAGATATAAATGTTACGTGTATTTTTTACAAATCGAGTTAAACTCTTGGTACGGAAACCAAAAGCGACGGATAATTTGGGACAGAGTAATTACATGGATATCCTTATGTTTGTTGATTAATGGTAGTATTATGCTACTAATTGGTCAGTTCCGTACTTGGGAGTTCCTTTGAAGGGTATGTACTTCGATTTTAAGTGATCAGTCAATGCTTTGTTGCTGGCATTCGGTTTGGCGGTTTGTACAGTTCGATGTGGATTCAGATTCTGTGCGCATTTAGCAGTGTTTCATATATGTTTTGGTTTGGCGCGCTGCGCCCTATTGGATTTGTTGGTGGCATTCGGTTTGCAGTTTGCACAGAACCGAGCGGCCTTCGAAATTCTTGTGAAATATAAACGAGGAATCTAGAGTTCTGACGTCAATTAAGCTATCTGTTTGAGAAGGGAACATAATGGAGCACGACTCGAAGGTAGTTTAATCTCAGCAAGCAATTTAACTGTTTTAATTTTTCTAAGCCAAGTTTCTCTTAATTTTGACACCTATAAACTAAATAAATGCACAACCAGATTGAATTTGCGGATTCATGAAAACTTTGAAGTTGTAGGGCCTTGTTTAGATTGCAAATTTTTGCAATCTGGACATTGTAGCCGTTTCATTTGTATTTGACAAACTTTGTCCGATCATAGACTAACTAGGCTCAAAAGATTCGTCTCGTGATTTACAATCAAACTGTGTAATTAGTTATTTTTTTTACCTACATTTAATGCTTCATGCATGCGTCCAAAAATTGATGTGATGAAGAGAGAGTGAAAAAACTTGAAATTTTGAGGTAATCTAAACAAGGTCTAGATATTGATCTATTTTTCTAAATTTTATCAAAGTCAGAAGTTGACTTTGGGCGAAACTAAAATGGACTACTATTTGAAAAGAAGGGAACGCCATATATTTATTTGTCGATATAGGACACACGTACATAATGGAATACGAGTTGAAGGTACTCTGATCTCGTGTTGATTATGGGCAGAAGGAACCAAATCAGATTATTTAGGCAGAAGAAAGAAGAAACGACAATAGTCCATGTGCAGCAACCAACGCAGCAATCCAAGCCTCATGCGTCTTCTCAGAGCATCAGCATCTCCTGCTTGCACTCCCTGCTCCTGGAGGGCAGGAAGCTAGGAAAGTGCTCGAACAGTTTCGCTAGAAATTGTTAGAGTAAAGTGCACCGACAGTCCTCGAACTTGTTCGGTTATATCATCTCGGTCCTTAAACTTATAAATCGACCGCTTAAGTCATCAAACTTGTTCATCTGTGTCATGCCCGTCCCTAAACTCTCAAATCGTTCGTTTAGGCTCTCAAACTTGTTCGGCTGTATCATCTAGGTCCTTAAACTTGCATACACTCGTTTAGTTCTTCAAACTTGTTCAGTTGTGCCATCTCGATTCCTAAATATTGTAAACTTGTAAATTTAATATATATTTATAGAATTGTCCAAAAATTATAAACGTAATTTTGTTAGACTCCTGGTAACATATGCTTTAAATTAGAATAAAAAAGGTCACCATGTACTTTCTATTTTTAACTCTATAGTTCAATAACTAAATAGACACATACATTTTTTAAAAATATACGTGCCTATTTAGTCATTTAACTACATAGTTAAAAATAAAAAGTATATGATGATTTCTTTTAATCTAATTTAAAGTACATGTTACCAGGAGTTTAACAAAAATAGATTTATAATTTTTGGATAGCTCTATAAATATATATTGAATTTACAAATTTATAGTATTTACAACATTTAAGGATCGAGATAACAATAACAGAACAAGTTTGATAACCTAAACAGGTGATTTGCAAGTTTAGGGACCTATCCGAACAAGTTCGATGACCTAAATGAGCGATTCGCAAGTTTAGGAACCGAGATGACACAAATAAACAAATTTAAGGACCTAAATGGTCGATTTGCGAGTTTAGAAACCAGGATGACACAGCCGAATAAGTTCGAGGACCGCCAGTGAACTTTACTCTTTTTTCTACATCTCAAGAATTCAATGATTAGCCCATCGTAAAAATTTCATTATAATTGGACAACAGAACTACAACTATGAATTAATTACAGAAAAACTTACATCTAAAGCTACAACAAAAACTTTGTACTAAAACATACCATATCATATGTTTACGGTGTGGTTCTACTCATGTGGAGTCCAACAAAAATTTTATGCTTATTAGATCATGTATGTCTGAGTTATAGATTTAATTTCACTTTAAAATTATTTAACAAATATAAACCTATATAAACATATAACTCAATCATACGTGATCCAATGAGTATGAAACTTTTACTACAGCTCAAGCATGTAATGATTAGCCTATCATAAAAAATTCACCACAATTAGACTAGAGAAACCACAACTATGAATTAATTATAGAAAAATATAGATATAAAGTTACAGCAAAATCTTTGTGCTAAAGGATAGTATATTATATGTTCACAGGGTAGATCTACTCATACAGAGCCTAACCCAATTGGATTTTCTATTTTATGATTTTTTCTATGATTTATTATGATTTTTGAAAGATTCAACCGAAATAAACATAAAAGAAAAAAAAAACCACCAAGGGAAATAGCCGGAGGTCAAGTGACTGGTTTTGAGAGATTTGGGAGAAAATATTCATGGTTTTAGAATTGTGGGAGGAAAAACAGACTTTCGTGATAATTGAGAGAGACAAAAAAAAAATTGAACTTTTTCCTTAACAAAATCACACAATACAAGTCTAAACTTAAACCCAGCAGCAGAAGGCCCAGATTAGGCTATCTCCAATAGTAACACCAGAAATATAATACCTATTCGTTTTTTGGGTAGCGCTACAGGCAGAAGCTTCAATAGCTATTTGGCATCTTTTTTAACAACAAGACTAAAAGAGAATTATTTCTGCAAATGAGTTTCTAAGAGAGAGGATGTCCATATTTAGATTGTGCCTCTCAGATAACTTAAAATAAAAATACTGTATAGATACTCTGTTGGAGAATGATTTTGAATTTCTCGCTATCTCCTTTGAGTTTTGGTGTTCACTTGGGTTTCTTGTTCGGACAGTCTTAGTACAACGGACACTGTATGGCCCCCAAGACGAGCGGATTCGAGGCGGATGCGGCGCGCGGGCGAGTTACGGGCCTGCGCGCTCGCGGAAAAACGACCGAAAATAGCGGCCGCGGGCAAAACCCGCGAAAGCCGAACGCCCTCTAGGGAATGATGAGTGGAAATTATATTTTTATATATTAGTGGGGACCCTCGTTCCCTCTCAGACCTCAGGCGAAACCGCGAAACTCCTCCCTTCTTTGTGGGCCCCGCACTCTTTTCTGTTCCACTTCCATTCCACACCTCCGCCACCGCCGCGGCGCCGCCGCATCAACAAGACGTGAAGACGGACGCCGGAGGTCGGGGTGGCGACCACGAGATGCAGGAAAGGGAGTAGCCCGGGCCTCGGGAGTCGCGGCATGTGAGTGCACAGAAGAAGACTGGAGGCCGACGAGCTCGACCTCATGTCCGGCGGCGGCGCAGGTCTCGTTCCCTAACCCTATCCCACTCCATTGTCTTCCGCTTTTGTCCCCTACCGCCGCCCGTAGATTTTGTCTTCCCGTGCGGTCGCTCGAGCGCGCAAGTCAAGCTCCCGCACACGCGCAAATCGAGCTCCCGCGCAGCCCCTGCGGCCCTGCCGCCGAGTGGCTGTCTCGCGGCGCGTCGCTCGCTTCTGCGGCGCTTTTCTCCGCCTCCGCGCCTGAATCGGTCTTGCCGCTTTGGGAGCGCTTATGCCCTAAAGCCACGCGTGGCCCGTCCGCGTTGTGACTGAGCGTGCTGAAGCGTGCGCTTTTGGGACAGCTCCACTCCAGCTCCAGTTTTTCTAGCTCTGCCCCACGCCCCCACCACTTCCACCTTGGAGTAGCTCCGCTATGGAATTGCAGCTCTACACTGGAGCAGATGCGCCTGTTTGACACATAGCCTGACTTCAGCTCTAGGAACGAGAGGTTTAGCTGGGAAAGGTCTAATATGCCCCTGAATGATGTTTGGTGTATATTTTGATGATTGTAAGCATACACAAGTGGCCATTTTCTTTTACTAATTGAAATATGATATAAAATATTGTAAGTGCAACTAATTTAGTTAAAAAATGATGGTAAAAACAATATAATACACTTTATTAACATCAATTACACAAACAAGCAACTCGTTGTTCATAGTACCATAGATCATAATAATATTTTCATTAAGCAAAAAATTCTTTACATAAGAAAATGAGAGAAGTGTTGTATTCAATGATTCTATATGATACATTTTTTTTTTCTGACCAAAATAAAATACAAATGATATCAGAACAGTGAACTTTTCTTGTGATGAGATCTTGTACTTCATCCTTTGACCACATGAAAATCTAGAGTCCTGTTAAAAAAGAATTTCAAAGGCTTGCAATAGAATTATAAATATTCATAATGCAGCACATATCTCAGTTATTTAAACACTAAAATACAGAACTCATTGATATCAAAATGAAAATTATGAAATTGGTCAGCATTAGAGAAAAAACATAGGTGGATAAGTCACTAATTAAACCGTCAGCGTATCACATCAGTTTTTGACACACTGCAGACATTCAGCATGCGTATAGTCCTGATTTGCAACAAACAAGATTAATTGTTCGATCCTTTGGCATACAAGGAATTACGATAGCATCCAATACCGATACATACTCAATTTAAGACCATATAGTGCCCTGTTAGTCATTGGCGGAGCTACCTTAGGGCCATAGAGGGCCATGGCCCCCCCTTGCCGTGCATCAAGTTCCATAGTTGTCATGTGCAAGTGCATGTATATTTCCCCACTGTCTACTGGCATAGCTGCATGCATAGTTGTTTTGTTTGTTACTACTGACTAGATGCCTGATGCATGCAAGCTTGCTAGCTATGGTGCCATGCTTGCCTGTAGCAGTACGTTCTTGAGGCCCGTTTGGCCCCTGCTTGCTTTGAGCGCTAGCTCCGCCACTGCTGTTAGTGTTTGCGAAATTTTTATTTCGGTCCATTCTATCAATGTCATCAGTGGTGCATAAACAACACAAATCTGCTAAATAAGAAAATCACTCATCGTAACTAGATATGCAATGCCACATGAGCCTGTAAAGGAGAACTCTATTGAATCCACTCTTGCTTGCAGCAATCATTGCCGCACACCTGACATTGAACCAACCTTGCACGGTGGCGACTGGTCGGCGCCAGCCCCTGGCCGGCCTTGGCAAGTGGCCTGACTGCCTCCGGCCATGCCCTGGGAGACCGTGGCTGGCCGGGGCCTCGCCAGGCCAAGCAGCAGGGTGCTGCGCTTGCTGAATGGCCAGGGGAGGGCGGCCCTCGACCCCAGCGAAGGGCCCCTTGCTGAATGGCCAGGGGAGGGCGGCCCTCTACCCCAGCGAAGGGCCCCATTGACGACCAATTGCAGTGGCGAAGGCGAGCTGAGGTTTGTAGATAGATGTGACAGAGGAGGGGATTTGTGAGGAAAAAGGAGTTCATCTGGTTGAGCATCACCAGATCCGTCTATTCTGGTCATCAACTCGCATGTGGAGAGCCCGTGATGGCCGGGTTTCGAGCGCCACCAGTAGGGTTGGAGGAGGGAGGAGGTGGTGCAGTGGCGCTACTGTTCACCGAGGGAGAGGAGAGGGTGATGATTCGGGAGGGGTGGCGTTGGTGAGAAAGAAAGTGAAGGGGTATGTTGTGTAATTAGTGTGAGCGGTGGGGTAATTTTACCCCAACTCCACGAGAAAGTTCATAAGTAGAGTTTGTAGAGTACCCATTGAGGAGCTCCGCAAAAAAACGTGGAGTTAGCCCTGAACTCCACTTTTTTTCCTGGAGTGGAATTTGTGGAGCTGACATGTGTGGCTAGCAAAGTTGGGAGCAGAGCTGTAAAAGTTGGAGCAGAGCAGTCTCAAATAGGCCCTTAATAACTCCTTTTGGAATCGTGCATGGGTAGGGAAGGAAGTTAGAAAAAAAAACTCATCAAGTCTGTTTATATGATGGAATTGCAATGTGTAAAATTCCTACTCCCTCCATTCCAAATTGTAAGTGGTTTTGACTTTTCTAGATACATTGTTTTTAATACGTGTGTAGCAAAAGCAATGGACCTAGCCAGAACGACTTAGGGAGTACTATTTTATCCTGATTTCTGATTGTCTTCTCTCAGGCTGCTTCATCTGGAGAATCGTTGCACGTGCATGGTCTGCACTAGCCACCTACACAGTGATCTCTGCTTCTGACCTGACCATGCTATAGGCTCTATCTGCATTGGAGAGAAGTGAACCTATTCAAGGTGTTCATATACTTTTTGGATGGTTTAAGAAAGAGCTTGGAAGCCTTGTGTGGGTAATATTTTGTGTGACAGCGATTGATGTTGGATTGTTGGGAACCAATTCCATAATCAGTACAATGGAGTGCAGCAGAGAAGAGGCCTTGAAGGCCATGGAAATTGCTGCTAAGAAGTTGGAAAACAGAGACTTTGCTGGTGCTAAAAGGATTGCCCTTAAAGCGCAGAGGATTTTTCCAGAGGTCGAGAACATACCCCAGCTGTTAACTGTCTGTGAAGTACATTGTGCAGCAGAAGCAAAGGTAAATGGGATATTGGACTTTTATGGAATTCTCCAAGTAGAAGGGACAGCGGATGAGATGACCATAAGGAAGCGGTTTTGTAAGCTTGTTCTCTTACTTGACCCTGATAAAAACAGTTATGCTGGTGCAGATTCTGCTTTGAAGTTTGTTGCAGAAGCATACTCAACATTGGCTGATCAAACAAAACGACATGTATATGATGTCAAATGGAGGGTTGCTTTCAAAATTGCACCAAAGCAGGCTACACAACCGACAGGCTGCAGAACCAACTCGGGTTACACAACCATTCAGGCTACACAACCAAAACAGGCTGCAAAACCAAAGCAGGCTACACAACCTAATCTGGCCGAGGAATCAGAACGGGCCACACAGCCAAAGCAGGCTACACAACCAATGAAGACTACAGAGCCGATTAACAAAACCGATGCAAATAGAAGTAACACAGCAAGATATGGACCATCAGGTTCATCACCCACTGATGGGTGTACGTTTTGGACCGTATGCATCCACTGTAAAACAAAATATAAGTACCATGGCGACATACTCAATCTTCAGATCCGTTGTCGGAACTGCAGGAAAAAATTCTTTACACACCAGATAAGTACAGAGGATGTGACTTCTGTATTCTCATCAAAAACTGCAAATAGTGATACGAAACAGGGCTGTCTTCCTACTCAACAAGGCTGTTCTAGATATCTCTCTTCTAGAGAGAACAAAGAGACAAGTCCTGTGATGAATGCAGCACAATGTGATGAACAAATGAAGAGCAGTTCAAAACCAGGTGGTGAAGGTATGGTTGATCATACAGAGACAAGTCGGAAAGGAGTTGAATTTTCTGCAACAAATCCTTCTAAAGCATCTGCACCAAACGGAAATGATAGGGCAGATGGAAGGATGCAAACTGACACCACTGTACCATATTTTGGTGATGGGAAAAACCTAAGTAGTGGGCTGGATACATCAGCAGTGCCAGGTGCTGCAGGAATCCCTACTCCACAGAGATGTTTTAGGAGAAAGGCATATGTTGATGCCAATAACACCCTTAACTCTCCAAAGAAAAAGAGTCGAACACTCAAAGATTGGTCCTCAAATGCTGCCTGCAGTCCTAATGAAGTGTTTGCTGATAATGTTGCCCATGCTGATGGACAAATTAGTGAATCTCATGTCTACAGCAAAACAGATAATCAAGATAAAAGTTGTACTGTCAATGAAGGCAATAAAAGCACTTGTGATACACCTGCTGGGAAGCCTTGCAATGCTGGGAGCTTCACGTACCCTGACTCAGAATTTTTTGACTTCGGTAACTGTAGGGATGTCAAACTGTTTGCAGTTAATCAGATATGGGCACTTTATGATGACTTTGATGCCATGCCAAGATATTATGCTAGAATTAGACATCTTGATACTACCAACTTCAGAGTTCAGTTCACTTGGCTGGATCACTATGCAGTGAATGATGATGAGGACAATTGGACTTATAATGAACTTCCTGTGGCTTGTGGGAACTTTAAGTTAGGAAACACACAAGAGTCACAACATCCCCTCATGTTTTCTCACATCATTTCATGGGCTGAAGGCGGAACAAGGGGTTCTTATGTAATACATCCAAGTAAGGGTGAGGTATGGGCTCTTTATAAGGGCTGGAGTATGCAGTGGATCTCAGATGCAGACAATCATAGATCCTATGAGTATGAAGTGGTGGAGGTCCTTTCAAACTTTACAATGGAAGCTGGTGTCACTGTTATCCCCTTGGTCAGGGTTGAAAGTTTTGTGAGTCTGTTTGCACAAGCAAAGGATAAATCATCATTTGTTATACCATCAAGTGATCTACTTCGGTTTTCCCACAGTATCCCATTTTTCAGAACAAGAAATGAGAAGGTTGGTGTCCCTAGTGGGTTTCTTGAACTAGATACCGTATCGCTTCCTAGTAATTTGGATGTAGCATTTCCACCGGTTACTCTTGATTCTTGTGTGCCTGGTTCTTCTGCTCTGCAAGGCTGCTGCTCCCCCATTATTTTGACATATCCAAAAACAGTATTCTACAACTTTGAAGAAGGCCGGTTGAATACTAAGTTTGCACGAGGCCAGATATGGGCTCTTTACAGTGATTTTGATAAACTTCCAAAATACTATGGCTGGGTTTCACAAGTTGATCGAGATCCGTTTGGAGTGCAACTGACTTGGCTGGAAGCATGCCCTCGATCAGAACAGGAGAATCTGTGGTTAGAGCATGACGTACCTGTGAGCTGTGGGACATTTAAAATCCGTTACTGGAGTATCAAGTATGACACGAATGGTGCATTCTCTCATGTAGTAGGGATCCGTTCGAAGTGGCACTTTGAAATTCACCCACAAGTAGGGGAGATTTGGGCGATCTACTGCAATTGGTCACCTGGCTGGGTTCCTTCCAGCAAGGATGTCTGTGAATATGCCATTGGTGTGATAACTGCGCGCACTGAAGCTATCACGAAAGTTTTGTTTCTGACTCAGGTAGATGGCTACAGAACTATATTCAGGCCAGACAATGAGAGGGGTATCCTGGAGGTGCCAACAAAAGATGACTTGCGGTTTTCTCACCGGATACCCTCTTTCCAACTGACAAAAGAAAAGGGTGGCACTCTCTGTGGCTTCTATGAGTTGGATCCTGCTGCTGTTCCTGATCCCTTCCTCGCTGAGGGTACCCACTGACTCGCAGAGGCTGAATTTGACCGTTCTGATGAAGAAACTAGGACTAGATCTTGCATGATAGTGTGCCGGGCAACTGTGGTTTAGGCTAAGCCTTGCTATATATTCCACTTCGTAGGCCCTCGGCATCTTTTTGTCTTGTATGTACTGAGCATACAACTTTTGTATCTAATACTGATGCCAGTGAAACTATACTCACTCTATCGTGCAGTGTTCTCTGTTGGCGAGAGCAGATGGTCTCTGCAAAACAGCTGGAAACTTTGTTATGTGTTCCAGGATAAAAAAAAGGCATCTTCCACGTCAGCATTTTGTCTAAGTAGCACTCTTAATGAATTCTATAATTTTCCTACGACTATAAATGAGCAAGCGCTATTTTGAGCATCTCCAATAGTTCCAAAAAAGTAATTGGAAAATCAACGAGTTCTCCGAGTGGCTAAAAAAAGTTGAGAGCATATTGGTTGGTGTCGGTGTTTCGGATCACCGGCTGGTAAATTTGTATCTGCGCATCTGGCCTGGATGGTATGCTCGGAGGACACAAGGATTTATACTGGTTCGGACGAAATATCCCTACGTCTAGTGTGCTGCTGCTCGTGTTACGGCACTAGTTTGTAGTAAGGGTTACAAACGGGCGAGAGAGGGAGCGAATCCAAGGTCTCTGGTGGAAGGGTTGAAGAGTCCTGAGAGTTTGTTCAGGCGTGTGTTCCTTTTCCCTTCTTGGGGCGTCATGCTTCCCCTTTTATAGGTGAAGATGAAGGCGCATGTTACAGAGAGAAAGAAGGAGAAAAGCGAGGGAGAAGAAGGCCTCCAGGACCGCCGGGTCCTTCTCCTCCATGCGGGTCCTGCCGACGCTGTAGATGGTGATGGGGACGGCTCCACGTTGGGCTCCTGTTCACCACTGGTGCCATGTCCTGGCGTCATCAGCTGGTCGTGGCGTCCCATCCCGTCCTGGCGGACGGCGTGGTGAACCGACATGCCTATCAGCGGCCGTACGGGGAGTAGACAGCACAACGATCACGCACCCGTCATTGTTGGCGATGTGAACCCCCGGGCGTGGCCTGACGTGGCCATAGGTCACGTCAAGACGTTCCCGCTTCCCTCCCGGTGTCAGAAGTTGAGATCGGATGCTGGCCAGGCCTCACCGGCGCGTCCGGTCACTTGTTAGAGGACGGTGCAGGGGTGCGATCGGACGCACCGAGCCCGCGTTAGGTGCGCATGATGGTCGGTGACGTCAGCTCGGCTGTGGCGCGCGTAGTAGCGAAGCACTGACTGGACGCAGGCGCGCGTCAGGTCGGTGTTGACCTGACGCGTCCGGTCGCGTTTTCGACGCTCTGGAACGTCTCTGGAAATGGCCGGACGCTGAGGGCTCACGCGTTAGGTGGCGCAAGCAGCGAGTCTGGTCATCACTTAAGTACTTAACACGCGAGCGCTTGTTCAGTTGATCGTTGGAGATGAGCGGTTGTGGTTCAAAGGCTTGACGCGTGACGCTCATCCGTGGACCGGACGTAGCCGACCAGACGTTGGGGTGCGTCCGGTCAGGCGAGTCCGGTTAGCCCCAAGCAGAGCAATGACTCTATTTCTTTGGGGGCTCTTTAAATAGTTGGGGGTCGGCTCCAAGGTCTCTCTTGGCCATTTGACATCTTTGACATCCTTGTGAGCTGAGCATACTCCCTTCCACTCATCTCTCTTGCTTGATTGCTAATTCAAAGTGAGATTGAGTGATTCCAAGTGCATTTGCTTGAGTGATTGCATCTAGTGGCACTTGGGGATCGTTGTGGCTGCGGATTTCTTGTTACTCTTGGTGGTTGCCGCCATCTAGACGACTTGGAGCAGCGAAGGAGCTTCGGCACGTGTTGGTGATTATTTGTGGATGGCTCCGGTGATTGTGAGGGGTCTTGCACCTTCTCCGGCGAAGAGCCGCAAGGTAGCTCTATTAAATTGCTCATGTCATTGAATTACCTCACTTGTGTGTAGGTTCTTGCGGTGTCCAATTGTGTAAACGAGGCTCGTGCAATACCTCTTAGCCGTCGAACCACCAAGTGTTGGTCGACATAACGGGGACTAGCGTGCCAGCAAGCACGGGAACCTCGAGAGAAAAATTAGTTGTTTCTTGCCCTTTGATATTCTCCCGGTGATTGAATTGGCATTCATATTGTGATTGGTTCATCCCTCGACGCGTCGGTATAATCACCTCACTCTCTTCATTACTTTTCCACAAACTAGTTGTAGCAAGTTTTTTAGTGTAGTTAAAATTGAGAGCTTGCATTGTAGCTTAAATTCATCTAGTGGAGCTCTTTTGTGTAATTGAGAGCTCTTAGTGAGTAGCAAATTAGCTCTTGTGTGTGACTAGTGATTATAGCAACTAGAATTGTTTGGATAGGTGGCTTGCAACCCTTATAGAGCTAGAGCAAAATTGCATTACGCCGTTTCTCATACTAATCAAATTGCTCTAGTGATCTTGTAGATTTTCAAATAGGCTATTCACCCCCTCTAACCATAGTATGACCTTTTGAAAGCTCTAGTTTGGTTTTGACAAATTGATGAAACCCTAAGTGCTAACCTAGTTTATCAAGTGATCATGATATAGGTAGCACACTCCAAGTGGTGAAGCAAATGAAGATCATAACATGATGATGGTGATGCCATGTTGATGATCAAGTGCTCGGACTTGGAAAGAAGAAAGAGAAAAACAAAAGGCTCAAGGCAAAGGTATAAATTGTCGGAGCTATTTTGTTTTGGTGATCAAGACAGTTAGAGAGTGTGATCACATTTAGAATTGATAGCCGTACTATTAAGAGGGGTGAAACTCGTATCGGAATGCGGTTATCAAAGTGCCACTAGATGCTCTAACTTATTGCATATACATTTAGGATCTAGTGGAGTGCTAACACCCTTGAAAATATTTGTGAAAATATGTTAACACATGTGCACAAGGTGATACACTTGGTGGTTGGCACATTTGATCAAGGGTGGTGAAGTTTAGGTGCAAGGGTAAGAAACTCCACCGGCGGAGTGTCCGCCCGTAGAGTGCGGACAGTCCGACGATGCCACCGGCGCCTTAGACAGAAAAGACGGAGGTCACTGGAAGTGACCGGACGCTGGTCGTTCAGTGACCGGACACGGGTGGCTGCGTCCGGTGCTGTTGTCGGACGGAGCAGCAGATAGATACCTAGCGACCGGACGCTGTCAGGGTCCGGTCAAGCATGACCGGACGCGTCCGGTCGACAAAAGTTGGTTTTGGAACCTTACTGTAAACGACCGGACACTGGGGGTTTAGCGTCCGGTCAACTTCAGCGCAGTGTCCGATCAAGGCAAATGACCATTGAAATCGGTACACGTGGCTAACAGCGAGCGACCAGACGCTGGGGGCTCAGCGTCCGGTCACCCCGCGTTTTACCCAGTGAAGGGGTACAACGGCTCTATTTCGTGGGGGCTTCTATTTAAGCCTCATGGCCGGCTCAAGCTCACTCTCTTGGCTATTTTCATTGACATAGCAACCTTGTGAGCTTAGCCAAAGCTCTCCCACTCATTTCCATCATAGATTAAACATCTTTGGGAGATTGGGAGTGATCCAAGTGCATTGCTTGAGTGTTTGCATCTAGAGGCACTTGGTGTTCGTGTTTCGCTGCGGGATTCGCTTGTTACTCTTGGTGGTTGCCGCCACCTAGACGGCTTGGAGCAGCGAGGATCGTCGAGCGGAGGGTGGTGATTGTCTCCGGCTCCGATCGTGGTGATTGTGAGGGGTTCTTGACCTTTCCCCGGCGGAGCGCCAAAATATACTCTAGTGGATTGCTCGTGGCTTGTGTGATCCTCATCTTGTGTTGGTTGTGCGGCACCCTATTGAGGGTTTGGCGTGTGAAGCCAATTAGCGCGTGAACCTCCAAGTGAGTGAATCGCCATAACGAGGACTAGCTTGCCGGTAAGCAAGTGAACATCGGTAAAAATCATTGTGTTCATCATTGATTCCGAGGTGATTGGTCTTCATTGTTATCCACACTAGTGATTGATTGGTTCATACATCTACACGGCGGTATAACTTTCTTGCCTACTCATTACATTACCGTAAACTAGTTGTCAAGCTCTTTAGTGTAACTAGTTGTGAGAGCTTGTTAGTTTGGTTAGTGTGGCTCTTTAGTTAGCTTTTGAGAGCACACTAACTTAGTGTAGTGATATAGCTATTGTGTGGATATACTTCATCTAAACTAGAATTGTGATAGGTGGCTTGCATTTTGGTAGGCTAGCGCATAACTCGTTTCGCTTCATAATTGTCTAATCCTTTTGTTAAGTGTTGTTGTAGAAAATTTATTAAGCTATTCACCCCCCTCTAGCCATTAGGATCTTTCACCTTTCACTTTTGCTATTTCTCTGTGTTGTAAGGGGATTTTTAGATGTTGCAACAGATGATTTTCGAATGTTGCAATAGGGTGATTCATGTGTTGCAAAAAAGGAGCTCTAATGTTGGGATTATTGCAATAGGGGTTTTTAATTTGTTGAAATTACCTTTTTCAAATGTTGCAATACTATAAGGTGATTTTGAGTTGTTTCCATTTCCATGTTTCATGGTTGATTTTGCGACATTGCAGCACTACTGTTTGAGATATTGAAGTACATATTTTTTCGATGTTGCAGTACATAATTTTTCGATATTGCAATACATAATTTCGATGTTGCAACACATAATTTTTGATGTTGTACTATATAGTTTTGCGATGTTGCAGTGTTTATATTTTGATGTTGTACTACATAGTTTACATATTTTTGCGATGTTGAACTTAGAGTGTTTCATGCTCTTGGGACAGGGACACGGTAGGGAATGGGGACAAGGGCGCGATGGGAAACGGAGTGTCGTGGGGAATTTTTTTTATTTTTAACACTTTTTGTAAACTAATTTTAAATCTAACACTATTTTTTTTCTTCAAATCTAACACTTTTGGCTGCGCCTATTGCCATGGCGCGACGAAACGTCTGTGCCGCACCATGCATGGTGGCGCGGCGGGAGGATGACGTGGCGAAGACCGGGAGCGTTGACCGGTGACGTGGCAGTGACGCGCCACCGATCTTGGCACGGTAGTGACGCGCCATGGAGAATGGCGCGGCGAGGCAAAGCTAGGCATGGCCGGAGCATAGGCCTACCCGTGCAGCCTCGGCATGGCATCTAGGCCAGCTGCGGACATCGAGTTGTGTGTGGGTGCAGGGGTTCTTAATGACAACCGACACCTGTGGTGGTCAGACGTCAGCTGCTGGCTTGCTGCTGCTTTGAAGCGGTAGTTTATTACTGGGGCCAGGGCAACAAGTAGTAGGTGCAGGAGTGACATGGATTTGTCTGAATTTTGATAATGCTGCTGGAACAGATAGATAAATGTTTGCCTACTCTACTGTTATGTTCATTTGATTACTGTTCTGTTCATTTGATAGCTTAGACCCTTTAGTTTTTTTTCTTAAATAAATAAAAAGGCTGCACGATGTCAAATTAATGATTTGTTGTGTGCTTACATACACACCAGAAAATTGTTTGATAATACGTGATCCGGTATTTTTTTTTGATAGGACGTGATCTGGTATCTGTTGCACTAGTTTTAATTTGGTCAAGAATGGTAGACGCTTGAGCGTTGATGTAATCCATACCTTTTTGCCATTTTTTGTGTCTCCTTGATGAAGAGGCTTGAAGCACATCCACGTACAGTCGTGCAATAAAGGATGCACAGCGCACTACTCTAGTCGTGTAAGTGCTCGTATGCCACCGTAGCTGATTGATGCAGTTGTACAGTTGTCCAAACTACAAACTTCAACTTCCAGTTACGTGTATAATAATTAGCGAAGAAGTACAGATTAACTGAGTATGCTTATGAAGGTAGCCCCAGAGGCAGGATGTGAACCTATCTATAATCTACTACATGGGTCAAGAGAATATCTAACATTTAACGAATATTTAGGTAAAAATAATAACATTTATGATGCTAAATAAATATACTATAAAAATATATTTTATGGTAAATCTAGTTATATTTATTTGGTACTATAAATATTTGAAAGCATCTAGGAACATAGTTGGGTTTCGGTGATTAATGACAATACGTGATTACTATGACTAACGTGTGTTTTACAGAAGTAATTAAGTTAGGTCATGGTAACGGCAATTGATTGGGCAATCATGGTTGTCATGCCCCTACGATGGAAATCATTTCGGTTTTCAAAGAATGGACGACAAGGTTAAGGATGGACTAGTTCTAAGTGTCGTTTGGTGTTGAAGAGACACTTAGAGTAGTTTAGAACTTTGTTTTTCCTTTGGTCGTACTATGAAGGGGGGTATGGACTAGTAGTTTGACCTAGGTGAGTCTAGTGGGTTGCGTGTGGTGTACACTTGTCAAATCTAGCACTAGGTAGCTCCTAAGTAGCCCTAAGATCAATTGGAGAGAACTTCATTCACATATGATTGAGAGTTGGAAGTGAATGAAGGGTCAAATGTTGACCGGACGCTGTCAGCAGAGTCCGGTCAGTTCATTTGATCAAGCAGAAGTCGTCTGGTGGGACCGGACGCTGAGTGAAATGCGATCGGATGCTGGGTGGCAAAGTCCGGTCAACTCCAGAGAGGTTCCGGTTACTGACCGGACGCTCAACGCAAAGTGACCGGACTCTGGGCTCCAGCGTCCGACCAACATCAATAAGGTTTCAGAGAGCAGTTTTTGTGACCGGACGCTTCCGGTCAGTGCTGACCGGACGCTGGTCAGAGTTTGGTCACAACTTAACGGCTCGGTGGCGGCGAAAAGTGCCAAGGAGAGCAAGAGCTTAGTGAGGTGACTGAGAATTGAGAATCCAACATTAAGGTCTCATTAGCAAAAAGAGAGTAGCTAGTGTGTATCAACCCTTCTCATTAGGTTTGTTGTGGTCAAGTGAGAGTCCTTGCTTGTTACTCTTGGTGATCGCCATCACCTAGACGGCTTGGTGGTGATTGGGAGTTTGGTGATCATTCGGTGGAGCTTGTGGATGACCCAACTCACGTTGTGAGCGGTTGTGGGTGATTCACCGCGACGGAGTGTTGAAGAATCAACCCGTAGAGAGCACTTGATCCTTGCGCGGATCAAGGAGGCTACACCCTTGCACGGGTGCTCCAACGAGGACTAGTGGGGAGTGGCGACTCTCCAATACCTCGGCAAGACATCACTGCGTTCCTTCTCGTCTCTTCTAAACTTTTATGCGGTAGATCAATAGCATCACATTCTAGGCACAAGGGGTGAAGTGGGCTAAGCATAGGATTTAATTATTGCAAAGAATTTTAGAATTAGTCCAATTCACCCCCTCTTGGGCATCTTGATCCTTTCAATATTGATATTTTTATATATAGTAAGTAAAACTTAATATTGTGCTAGAACTCCATTCTTTATGGACGAGAATTCAGCGAAACATCCGGTACTAGTAGTTTTTATTACCCTCTAGAAAAGAATGCAATTTAGCATAATATCGAGTCAAACAGAGTCCGGAGAAGAAGCAACAACGGTGATCCGGCCTGGGGGCGACCCTCCTCGTCGGCCTCCTCGTAGCCGACCGTCGGCTGTTGCCATGGCTGGGGCCACGAGCTCTGAGGCTGGCCGCACCTGCTGCCTCGCCGGCCCTCATTGACTGCGCGCGCCCCCTGCTAGCCGTCCGCGTAAGATCAGATGGTCCAAAAATCAGTTGATTGGAGAGGCCAAATCAACCGGTTGAGGTTTAGCAATCTACAGCTAAAATATTTTAGAAAAATAGTCCATCAACTCGTGCTCTCGCACGGGTTAAAATTTTAGAAGATATAAGTATTAGGTACTGCAATGATGTATCATAGAAAACGTCTAATACTTATTTCCTTGTAACGGCTAGGTATTTTAGCAGCCTGCATGAGGCTTGACTTGGGAATTGGGATTATCATTGCTGTATGACACTTTGGTCCTGTTCGCTTCTTTTATAATCCGTCTTTTTCAGCTGGAATAGTATTTTTCTCTCACAACAAATCAGTCGGAACAGTGTTTCGGTTTGTTTTTTCAGCAAAGCGAACGGGGCCTTTATATCCTAATGTTAGGGCTTTGCTCTGCTCTCCGAATTCAGAAGCACAAAATTCCTAATTTTATATATGTTTTGGCATGTTACTGTGCATTTAGGCTATTTCAGTAATCATTGGAACTTTTTTTCTCCATTCATGTGGCATTTGTACATAGTAGACTACTCCCTCCGTCTAAAAAAATACAATTTTAGCTCACCAGAGTGGGAGCTTTCAAATGAATAGAATAGTAGAGTAGGCAAACATTTATTTGTCCGTTCCAGCATTATCAAAATTCAGACAAATTCATGTCACTCCTGCACCTACTACTTGTTGCCCTGGCCCCAGTAATAAACTACCGCTTCAAAGCAGCCGCAAGCCAGTAGCTGACGCCCTGACCACCACAGGTGTCAGTTGTCATTTCGAACCCCTGCACCTGCACGCAGCTCGATGTCCGCAGCTGGCCTAGATGCCATGCCGGGACCGCGGGGGCCTAGATGCCATGCCGGGACCACGCGGGCAGGCCTATGCTCCAGCCATGCATAGCTTTGCCTCGCCGCGCTATTCTCCATAGCGCGTCACTGTCGCGTCAAGATCGGTGGCGCGGCAGACCCTGCCACGTCACCGGTCAGTGTCCCCGGTCTTCGCCACGTTATCCTCCCGTCGTGCCACCATGCATGCGCGCGGTACAGGCGTTTCGCCGCGCCATGGTAATAGACGCGGTAAAAAATGTTAGATTTGAAAAAAATAACAGTGTTAGATTTAAAATTAGTTTAAAAAAGTGTTAAAAATAAAAAAAAATTCCGTCGTGCGGGACAGGGGGTGCACCGGGGATTAGGATGGGGCTGCCGGGTGGGGCGTGCCAGGCTGGGCCCGACGACCGGGAAGCGACGGTCACCAGAGAACGGGGCATTGGAGTGCGGACAGAGGACACAGAGGACGGGCCGCCGCGAGTGACGCCGGCGCACCGCACGCTCTCGCCTGGGCTGTGTATCACGGCTCGGATCGAACGGACAGCAGGTGCGTCCGGACGCTAGCTGCACTGATTTTTTTTAATATTGTCAAAAAAAAAAAGATTGGAAGAGTGTTTTGGAACTCTCGGAGATGGTCAAAATCCCATTGGGAATGAAAAAAAACAGACGACACTCCTCCAAACTCAAACGTACAAAAAGCTCCACGCCTTCGTCCCCTGCAGACACCCGAGGAGCCGAGACAGAGGGCAGTGAAGGGAGCCCGCGCGTTCTCCCGGCGTGCATCGGAAATGGTGGTGGTGGACGCGTCGGAGTTCGGGGCGGAGGGCTTCGACCCGAAGCGGTGGATCAACGCGGCGCTGGACGCGCGGCACCCGTCGGAGCCTCTCGATCGCTTCCTCGCCGACGCCGAGGAGCGCCTGCGTTCCGCGGCCGACGACGCCGCGGCCGCGCTCGAGAGGGACAGCGGCGACGCCCTCCGCCGCGTCCCCCTGGCATGCCGCGACGCGCTACGCCTCCGCGACGACGCCGTCGCCCTACGCTCCCACCTCGCCTCCGTCCTCCAGTCCCTCTCCCTGGTACGCGCCTCCGTCCCTGTGGCTTGCTCCTTATTGGATCTGGATCTCACTCGCACTCCCGTGCGTTTATTACGCGAAATCGAGATTGTTTGGAGCTCTGGAATAGCTTACCGCGCGTAGTTTCTTCGCACGTATAGTTCAGATGGATCTGGATCTCACATTCCGTGTCTAGTCAAGTCGTTTTTTTATCTGTGTGTGCTTCGCCTTGGATACAACATGAGTACAATTGTAGCTTACAAGTAGTACGAAATTCACGACTGAGTCATTTAGTTTGATCAAGTTTATGTTCAGGTTTCATTGCGCCATTTTGCTACTAGTTAAAAGTTGATCTCAAAATGTTCCGGGTCTTCGGGGTTTGTGAAACTAAGCCACACTCTGACATAGTTGCATCAGTTGCCATGTAGACTAATTTGGGATATTGTCATTTTATGTATTTACAAACTTTAGCCGTTGAGTGTAATGTAAAATTAAGAGCAATTCAGACATTCAGATTCAGAGGTGATCTGCATAAAACTCTATTTTGCTTGCCAAAAAAAGTAAAGAGCCATGGAGTTCTAGTCATGTTTACATACTTCAGGTGATAAAATTCCAGTACAACAAGATGCAACGAAAATAAAATCTTGCCCTTCAGTGGTGTGACAATGAGAGAACCTTTCTTGTACACTAAACTAATCTCTCGGGGGGTCGCAGCCTATCCCGCTGCCCAAGCTGACTCCATCTTGTTATACTGTATTCTGTTCCAGCTACATTTTTGCCAAGGCGGCAACTAACAAACTATTCATGGTTATATTTCCAACCAGGCTGAGGGCTCATCCGCAGAATCGATAGCTGCACTAGCACGAATTGATACTGTGAAACAGCGCATAGAAGCCGCATACACAACATTGCAGGTAAGGTCTATCTAAAGTTGTAGACCATGACACACCACTGGAGTATTGTTTATTATTTTTAAGAGTTGGTTTGATTGAATGGCAGGATGCTGCTGGGTTAGCACAGTTGAGCCAGAGTGTTGAGGATGTTTTTTCTAGTGGCAATCTTCCAAAAGCTGCAGAAACCCTGGCAACTATGAGACATTGCTTGTCAGCAGTTGGAGAGGTGTCATACTCCCTGCAAAAAACTATGAGCTGCATACACAGCCTGTTCGTTTTGCTTATAAGACGGTTTCTTTCAGGTTGCCGAGTTTGCAAATGTTAGAAAACAACTTGAAGTATTGGAAGAGCGGCTAGATGAAATGGTGCAGCCTTGTTTAGTAGATGCGCTTTCTAATCGCAAGGTATATCCCCCCACAAAACAGTAGTTTGTATTTGTTACATGAAACATCTCTATTTTACTCAGAACCTGTTTCTTTCTTGGAAGGTTGATGCCGTGCAAGACCTTCGTGGTATACTGATACGTATCGATAGGTTCAAGTCACTGGAGGCGCATTACACTAAGATTCATGTTAAGCCTCTAAAGAAACTCTGGGAAGATTTTGGCCTAAAGCAAAGATCCAGCAGGGTAGACATGGAAAAGCTCGGTGGCGAAAGCATTAGTGGCCTCTCATTCTCTAGCTGGTTGCCTAATTTCTATGATGAGACACTGCTTTACCTTGAACAAGAATGGAAGTGGTATGTTCATGGTGGTCTCCTCCTCCTTTGCTCTTAGTTAAAATATACCTATTACTAGTTGTAAAGTGGTTAACCAGAAGTTAGTTTTTAGAATCAGCCCCTAAGTAATATCTGGCATAATGAAGAAAATACATTGTTTAGACCAAAAAAGAGAACTCTTCTTTTGCCCCATCAGAACTGCAATTTAGCCTGTGGATGCTCTAAAATGGAAATGGTGGTGCTCACAGGTGCTTGACTGCTTTCCCTGAAGAATACAAATCACTAGTACCAAAAGTACTTAGTGAGACCATGAGTGAGTTGAATTCAAGCTTTGTCTCTCGTGTAAATATAGCAACTGGGGATGTTGTTCCTGAAACCAGATCTGTTGCCAAAGGTAATGCATAAACTGTTCATTAGTTTCATATTGACCTACATCTATCCCATGGTTTTATCACATATATTTTTCTGCTTTAACAAGCTATTAGCTTTGTTGCTTAATCTTGCTTGTTTTTCCTAACAGTGAATTGTATTTTTCTTCTCTGTACCCAGGTATATTGGATGTTCTATCAGGTGACTTACCAAAAAGCACCAAGTTGCAGAATAAGCATCTTCAAGCGCTAATTGAACTGCACAATATGACTGGCACTTTTGATAGGAACATTCAGCACTTATTTTCAGAATCAGATCTTGCAGTTGTGCTGAATACTTTGAAAGCTATTTATTCCCCATATGAAACCTTTAAAGCAAGGTAAAAACTTTAATCAGTTAAGTCAATGCAAACACAACCACCAAAGTAAAACATTGTTTGCATCTCGTTACCAGGTGCATTTATGAGATTTCTTTGATGCAACTGATGTATGATAGTAATCGTTTGGTGCTGCATGTCTTTTTATTTTGTGTCATGCAGGTATGGGCAGATGGAGCGTGCTATTCTCTCTGCTGAGATGGCAGGTATAGACATCCGTGGGGCCGTCCCTCGTGGTGTTGGTGCACAGGGTATAGAGCTGAGTGAAACTGTCCGCAGAATGGAGGAATCCATCCCACAAATGATAGTACTTCTTGAGGCAGCTGTGGAGAGATGCATTAGTCTGACTGGTGGTTCAGAGGCAGATGAACTGGTACTGGCTCTTGATGATGTCATGCTGCAGTACATATCTAATCTCCAAGAAACATTGAAGTCCCTGAGGATAGTCTGTGGACTGGATAGTGATACCTTGAAGAAAGATGCAGGTTTGGAGAAAAAGGAAGTACAACGATTGGTGGATGTTTCTGAAGAGGAAGAATGGTCTATTGTCCAAGGTGCTTTGCAGATTCTTACAGTTGCTGATTGCCTAACCAGCAGAACCTCAGTCTTTGAAGCTTCTTTAAGAGCTACACTTGCCAGGATTGGAACAAACTTTTCTGTTTCTGGCTTTGGCTCAAGCCTGGATAAATCACCTGCAGCAGCTGCTGATGAGAATGCAGACTTGCCTCTTGCTGGGAGGGCTGCACTAGATATTGCAGCTATTCGCCTAAGTGATCTGCCAGACAAGTCTAAGAAGCTCTTAACTGTACTAGAACAGGTAGGTTTTGTTGTTTTAAATTTTCGAATTTTCTGTTACAACGTACAACGCAGGAGTCACCACATGTGTCTCTGGGTTGTAACTGTATATCTGAATATTGATTGAAACTTGCCTAGTGATGCATGATCTGCAGTCAATCATCACCTGATAGACTTGATAAATGAATCTTTCTCATTTTTCCATAGAACCAAGGCCTGAGCTATCTGATCTTTGATCCACAGTCCAGATTGCATAATTTCTAGTTGGGCTGAGTCACCATGTGTCTGTATTTTTGCAAAACAAACACATATTAGTTGTGTTGGATGAAAATTATGCAGTCTAGAAAATGACACATTTGGTTCCTTTTCTATATTCCCTTTTTGAGTAGTTAGTGTAGAAACATGAGGAGTACATTTTGCGATACATTTTGAACATCTAGGGGGTGTTTGGCACGGCTTCTCTTGAGGGGCTCCTCCAGAGGAGCCAGAGCCATTTTGGAGGGAGGAGAAAACGGCTCCTCCAGAAAAACGTTTGGCAGGGCTTCTCCACAGGAGCCAGAGCCGGAGCCAGGGAGGAGCCCTGCCAAACAGGCCCCTGGTTTCACAAGAAACTGAGATCTAATCATTTTAACTTGCCGCTTCTGCGCCACATCACTAGTTAATCAGATCTGTTCATAGAACCTACTCATAACCTGCAAATTTCCCACCCAACTAAATTTAGTTGCCCTCATGTTACTAACAGTTTTTATTTATTTACTTTTTACAGTCAAAAGATCCAAGGTTCCATGCTCTTCCTTTCACATCACAGAGAGTTGCTGCTTTCTCAGACACAGTAAATGAACTCGTCTATGATGTGCTCATATCTAAGGTTCGGCAGCGCCTCAGTGAGGTTGCACGCCTTCCAATCTGGTCATCCGTGGAGGAACAGGGTGGCCTTCCTCTTCCAAACTTCAGTGCCTACCCGCAAGCATATGTGACCAGTGTTGGGGAGTATCTCCTCACTTTACCACAGCAGCTGGAGCCACTCGCAGAAGGTATCTCAGGCAATGAAGCTGGCAACGACGAGGCCCAGTTCTTCGCCACTGAATGGATTTTTAAGGTAATAAGCGTGAAATCTTTCTGCTTACGTTCCTGTAAAGTGCAAAAAGTCATAATTTGTAGCACCATTTCTGTTGATGGTGAAACATTCAGTATTGATTATCATCTCTGCTTCCATGTACCAGGTCGCCGAGGGTGCCACTGCTTTGTTCATGGAGCAGCTCCGAGGAATCCACTACATCACCGACCGAGGTTCACAGCAGCTTGCTGCTGACATCGAGTACCTAAACAATGTCCTCTCTGCGCTCTCAATGCCAATTCCTCCGTTCCTGTCTACCTTCCACGCCTGCGTCTCCACCCCGAGGGACCAGGTCCGTGATCTGATCAAATTAGATGGTGGAAGCCAGCTCGACCTCCCTACTGTCCATCTGGTCTGCAAGATCCGGCGGATCACATTAGATTAGTGAAATCGTCCTAACCTCTCCCACTTTCCGTGAGGTTTATACCTCTGTAAAAGCATGCATTCCCGCATCCGGCGGGCTTGTAACTTGTTGCTTCACCCTTTTTTCTTATCATTTTCAGGGACAGTTTTGCCTTGTAAGTTGTAACCGTACGTCCGTACTGCTGGCTAACCCTGGGCACAAAATACCGAGAACCGAACCGAAAATGCGAAACCGAATTTTTTTGGTACTTTACCTCGGGGAACCGAATTTATCGAAATGTGCTGAGCTTGAGTGTTGTTATATTGTTGATAGCACTATTTTAGTCTATTATATTATGTATTTGTGGTACTCTACTTTTATAGTCTTGTGGACTTTCATATGTATGTATTTGGCAATATTATTCTATGAATCATGTCCAAATTATGTCAAAATTAGCTTTTGAACCTGCTATTACATGTCCATGTGATCAGTTCGGTATTTTTTGGTAAATACCGAAACGGAACCGAAAATACCGAAACCGAATTTCCTTGGTATTGAATTTTGGAAGGAACCGATCGGTACCTATTTTCTAAGGAACCGAATTTCACAGGGAACTGGAGTACTCGAACCGATTCGGTAATACCGAATGCCCAGGGTGACTGCTGGCACATAATGAGAATAATCATATATAGATAATCATATATAGATGATTCATTACTCAAAGCCTAATATTGATTGCACGATTTTGCATAACAAACCTAGGGAAACGAATGAGGATCAGCTTTATAAGCTCTTCAAAATTGAATGGATCATAGTGTGCATTTGGCGGGGTTCTAGATTCTCATAAAAAATATTTCGGATTCAGATTTGTTTCAGAAACGTTTGGTATTTTTGTTGGATTTTTTAAACTAGAACTAGAATTATGAGAAACCAAATTTCGGTTGTTTATCTAGGTTAGTATAAAAATGTAAATCGGTTTCAAATGATTATCCTTTGAAATGTTTATCTCTTTTATGACGTTTGACAGTGATTCTAATGAGAATCTAAAATCTCTCTCGCTGCTAGCACCCAGTAGAAAAGTCTTTTTGGATTCTACCAAATATGTTATTATCAAATTCTACTAGATATTTTTTAAATACTAGATATATGCTCGTGCGTTTCAACGGGACCACAATTTTTTGGATTGAACCTCAGTAATCGGATGCGGACACGTGAGCTCCGAGGACTTGCTATTAGACACGGACACATGGATCCGGTCTTCGAATCGTAATCGGGTAGGAGCGGACGTGTGAGTTCTAGGTGGAGGATAATTCATATCAGACACAGACAAGTTTTTAAAAAATAGACAAGTGTCATGGCAAGGTGAAGAAAAGAAAAGAAAAGAAAAGAGATGCTCTAATCAAAATAGATAAAACTCCTAAAGATGCTCTAACAGTTTTTTTAAAAAAAAGATGCTCTAACCAAAATAAAAACCGAAAAAAGAACAAGTGTCATCGCAAAGTGAAGAAAAAAAGAAAAAGAAAACCGAGAAATGAAAAAGAGAAGTCGGCCCAATAGTCGTGCACTCCTGCGTTCACACCCTGTTTGCCGTCTTCTCCCGTTCGAGCGCCTGGCCCTGAGCTAGACGGAGACTCTCGATTCGGCCATTTCCACGGGGCCAGGTGTCTGCATCACTGGGGCCGGACCTACGCCGGCGACCGCCGCCGCCCTCCTCCCAGCTGCCCAGGTCTTCGTCGGGCTCTTTGCCCGCGACGAGCACCTGCCACACCAGGTATGCCTCCCCTCCTCTTCCCTTCCTTCTGTGCAAAACTGTGCACCCGAACCCTAATTTAACCTATTTGGCTATCTGTATTCGGATCGGATCGGATCTAACCACAAGGTATATCATGTATTGTGCCTACTAACTTTGGCAAAAGTTATCGGGTGTACGTGTTATATTGGCTCCGCCCCTGGCCCTTACATTTACATCAACTCCATGATGCCAAAACCATGCATATTACGGGCTTAAATATGATATAGGATGCTTTTAGATTTATACTAGTAAAGAAGCAAATGCTTTAATCATGCCAAGTTCAAGCTATACTTGCCACAATTCAGATATTTTGCCAGAAGAGACCTGGCTCTTCAGATTCAAATTTCCATGTCATCTGTTCAGAACTTGTATGCTGTGATTCCTCAGATTAGTGACCTGGAGCCACCATACTCACCTGTACTGCTATGTGCAAATAAATAAATGCCTGCTTTCATCTCCTTTTTGGAAAACCAGTGAGTGTGTTGACATTTCCTTGGGACATGAAAATAGGAGTTTTTTGTTTGTAAAAGGTACAAGGGTTATAGTAGCGCTGTGTTAATTGGACTCGTACTATGATTTCCTTGTAAAAACTTTATTTTTGGATCAATATATAAACGATATACTTATCTGACAGGAATCCCATTAAGTTTACTGCTGCTACCAATTTAAGGGCAGAACTGCCGGTCTTCAAGCTCTTGGTTACTCCTGATCTTCTGTGGCACAATTGTCCTCTGGCAAAATGCCATCAGTTTATCTTTACATCCCTAACATTATCGGTACGCCTCTGGATGGTTATCTGTTGACATTCTATTTTGCTGTTCCAAAACCTATCTTATAATATTTATATTTGTTTCGTGACTTATATCTCAAAGTCTGGATAATTGCACTAGTGAGTAATGACTTATGCAACTGGAAACATTGCCTATTTTCTGTTGTTGATTTTGTACCTCATTCTAGTTCTGTTGCCACTTTGCTATGCAGAAGTACCATCTACATACTGCATTTTAGTTTTGTTGCCATTTTGCTGCCCAAGAATAGCTACATAAAAGAAATCATAAATTTAGTAGAGGATATATAGTTTAACCAACAAGGCAATATGTTTATTTACAGCTGCTTTTAGCATGGATGAAAAGCAGAAGCCTATGTGACTAAAATTCCAGGAATTGTCATCACACAGGGTATTTTAGGATCATCATAAATTTCATTGCATTTGCGGTTTGCTATTCCAACAAGGCTCTCTTTGCTGTCCTGTACTTCTTCAGGTGAGTGTCTTATATCTGCGTACTACTTGAGTTTGCCAATGATGTATGTATGTTGTTCTAACATCTTTGCAAACATGCTAGTTTTGTCCTTGATGGTGTGGATGGTTGGTTTGCACGGAAGTTTAATCAAGGTAATAGTTCACATCCCCCGTGTTCAAGTCATGTAGTCTGTCCTTATGTAAAGAAGGTTAATACCAATCTTTGCTATAATTGAATTTCGTTGCATTGTGTGCTGGAGACCAACTTTAAAATGGTTATCTGGAAAGATTATCTCAGCTAAATCTCTTATTCCTTTTCCCCCCACATTATATAAGCTATCTGTTAAGTTATAAAATTATCTGATCAGTTTATTTCATTGTATGAATCAGCATCAACATTTGGAGCTGTGTTGGACATGGTTACAGATAGGTACTCCTCGAATGAATCTTTAAACTCTGGATATGCAGGGTGAATACATTCTACCGACTGAAATAATTTCACAGCTCACATTGCTCTTCTTCAGGGTTAGCACTGCTTGTTTGTTGGCCCTTCTCTCCCAGTTTTACAGGTATCAAAAGCAGAAGAGTTTGTATTGATTTGTCTTGAATCTCAATGTCTAGTACAAATCCTAATTGTAAACATTGTTACAGACCTGGTTTAGTCTTCTTGATATTGCTTGGGTTGGATATTACGAGCCACTGGTTTCAAATGTACAGGTCAGTTTCCTCTACCATTTTGTTCAGTTCTTGCAAGTTCCCAGTTTGTTTTCTAGTCAGCACTTGATCCTGTTCTTAAGGTAGTTGAGGCAACAGAATAAATCTGATAGCAATTACATTTTCAATAATTGATGCATGTGTTCTATTCAAGAGTTTCTCATGTTGAAATCATTTTTTACTTCTTTATTACTCCCTCCATTACAAATTGTAAGTCGTTCTGGCTTTTCTAGGTACATAGCTTTTACTATGTATCTAGACACAATATATATCTAGATACGTAGCCAAAGTTATGTACCTAAAAGCCAGAATGACTTACAACTTGAAATGGAGGGAGTACTTGCTAACTATGTAATGACATTTTTTTCTATACTAGTTCTTTCTTGTCAGGTAAGACTAGCCACAAGGATGTAAAACACACAGGCAATTGGCTTCTGAAATTATATTATGGGTACAGGCCATTCATGGCCTTCTGCTGTGTTTCTTGCGAGGTATGTCATCACTCATACTTTGTGCTATCCTCAAGAATTGTGATCCTGCTGTGCAGTTTGAATTCATCCAAATGTAGAAAATTAACAGTTGAACGTTGTATTGTGGACTGAATAATATCTCAGCACATCAGCTAACAAAATATGCCTTTATATTTCACCCTCTAAACTATTTCTTTTGACTAAACTTACAGGTTTTATATATTATCCTCTTTCTCTTTGCTGATGAGAAGTCAACAAGCTTGCTTAGTGTAAGATTGCATCATTTCTATATATTGCCATTTCGAGTTGGCATGTGAATTATTTAGCATCTGACATTTCTGTATTAATAACATTTTAATAGGTATGCAAAGGTGTCTTGAACCAAAATCCTGTCGTTGTCTTGGTGTTTATTTCCACTCTAGTTGGCTGGGCAGTGAAACAAGTCACCAACGTCATCCAGGTATTCTTGCTTGAAGTTTCCTGCAGCTTATTGCAATTTACACATTTGCATGCATTTAGCCCGAATCATGTCATTACAAGAGTATATCTAAATAGCTGGTTTTAGATCTGTATATGTGGTTTTAGAACTGTTGCTGTGTTGCATATTCTACATGATTCTCATAATACAATTTGATAGTGGATTCAATAAGAAGCTCAAAATTTTGACATCCATGTATTTTCCTGGGTACAGATGAAAACTGCTGCGGATGCATGTGTTGTGTATGATCTGAAGCGTAGCAAATGAGGCTTCAAGCATGAAGGCACCCGCCTTGACGTTTTAATTCAGTTTTGTATCAACATATCCAAGGGAAAACTCTGCGAGGCTTGTACACCAGGAGCTACGTTTTACGTGCCATGACATCTTTCTGATGATGCTTTATGTGGGACCTGAGGATGACATGCCGTGGGGAGAACATATCATAACCAAAGCAGACAGTTGTTTTTGTGAAAGCAGCGGCAGTTAAGTTGTTGTCGGTGTGTATTAATCTGTCATACAGTGATGATGCGATCGTGATCTTTGTTATCAAGAGTAGCCCTTTGTGTTAACCTGAACGACATTTACAAGCCACATGTTCCAAACTCCAGGAATATATGAAGGTTTTGAATTGCAAAACTTACATATTCTCACCTGAAGATCAGTTCCAGATGCAGATGCCCCTCGAGAGAGATTTTTTTTTCAACATGAGAGAGTTAAATAGTTACTTCTACCCGCCGAAATAGGCACTAGCTAGTAGCTACTATTCGGTTGATTTCCCTTTTGCTCCTTAAATATCCTTTGGTTCAGTTATCGATAAATTTTCCTATTTTTATTACACGATCTCCCTTAGTTCAAAGAATAAACACATGTTTTAGCTAGATTGTCAATACAAGTTACTAGGATCTTGTTTAGTTCCTCTCTAAAATTTTACACTCTATCACATTAAATATTTGGACACATATATAGAATATTAAATATAGACTAAAAATAACTAATTATAAAGATTACGACTACTTTGCGAGACGAATCTTTTAATCCTAATTGATCCATGATTTGACAATGTGGTGCTACAGTAATACATGTGCAAATGACGGATTAATTAGGCTTAATAAATTCGTGTCGTGGTTTACTGACGGATTCTGTAATTTGTTTTTTTATTAGTATCCGAACACTCTATGCAACATCCCCATGTAACATCCGATGTGACACCCTAAAACTTTACCTCCTGAATCTAAACAAGACCTAGGTGGTAACATTAGTTCAAAAAGATATAACGCTTTCATAGAACCGAGCAGCGCTCGGATGGCTAGTTCAGCCGGTGGGCAGGCGGCCGCGCGAGTTTGATTATCAGGAATCGCACTCGCGTCTCTCACCGGGGTTCGCCCCCAAATAAAAATATCTTGCCTCTCGTGTGGAGCCACAAAGGGAATGCGACGCGCCCTGTCGCCTATAGACCCATGGTTGGATCCGGTGATCTCACGAAGAACGCGATCTAGTGATCTGAGTATAGTTGTAGGTTTGTTTGTGTATGTGTGGTGTGAGTGTGGTGTGCGTGTGTAAGGTTGGTGTGAGTCTGTACATGAGCAAATGCTACAGCTGTATCTAGAGAAGAGGCAAAAAAAAAAGATATAACGCTTTCTTGCCGTGGTATAAATCCGACGCCAGACTCCCCTCCGGATGCGTGGCGTGATGTGCACCACAACTTTACCTCACTGCCGCACGTGTCGCTCGTCTAAATAAATAAAAAAACAAAATCAACTCATGTCCGCTTCGCCTCGCTCCACATGCGCCGCCTGCCCAACGAGCTCTCTCCCACCCTGGCAGTGCCCCTCCCCATACCCGGCGTCCTCACCCACCGGGAGCCCCCAATGCCGCAGATCCGGTGGCCCTCTCCCCTACCCCAACGAGATCCATGGAGCACGAACGAGACCCTATGGAGGTGGCGCGGTGGTGTTGCAAGGGAGTGGGGCGGCTCTCCCCACCCCGACACACGACGCCCTCCCCACCCCCGGCGGTGCCCTCTCTCACCTCGGCGACCGAGTGTGGTAGAACCGCCTAATCCAATGTCTCCCAGGAGTACTTGTCTTTCATTAGATACTAATTACTCAAGAGAGGACACTAAACTACGCAGTTCCGTAGGGCACACCCACGAGGAGAACTCAAAAATCTATATTTTTCCATTAGGATCACAAATGAGAGAATAAAGCTTACAACATTCTTAAGTCATTTCTTATTACCTCAATTTATTATAACAACATAATATAATAATATTTATTACTGAGAGGAAGCAGGATTAATTTAATATATACATTCGATAGTGGACATTTTTATAAAAGAGTCGCAAGACTTATAAAACCTTTCGTGAGGGTAAAAATAAAAAAGAGCGTAAGGATTCTCCGAGGCTGCAGAGGCTATCGGCGATTGCAACATGGGAATAAACCCCGAGTACTCGATTGTACTCAAGAAGGAGGAGCACTTAAGGACTAAAGCGTTTGGGTTATTATATTCAATTTTATTCAATTTCATTAGCAGTCATCATTAGTTCATTAACTAACCATTCTATGTAAGCACCTATGCTACTTTCAAGCAGGTGGTAAGCAATCAGAACTATTTTACCATATTTCATATTCTAGTTATTACTACGGTGATAGACTATAGCCAAGTCGTACCGTATCACACGGCGATTCATGAACCAATGTATCCCAAGCTGGGTACCCCGAAACACACGCCCCGCTTGTACCCTAGGCACAAGCAAGATCAACCCATCACTCTCCTATAAAGTGGTCTAGGTCCCCATCCAAACTTGGACTCCAAGCCTCCACTCCTGAGTCCCGGACTCAGTGTGGTGCTTAGACCTCTACCATCCCCGCCTCCAATCAGTCGGTCCGAAAAGAGCCAAAACCCACGACAAGAGAGCAACGAGGCTTCCCGCTCCCATAAGCAAGTATGTGCTCAGGATAATAAGTCTGTGACCTGACTACCATCCACAACAACGGACTGTCCTCAATCGACAAAGGCGGAACAAGTGCAATCCGAGCCTCGCTCGAATGCCTAACCAAGTCCAGATCTAAAGTACCATTCTGCCCGGTCTCCAATTATTATTCATATATATTCCATATGACAGTAATATAATAACAACAATAATATCTTTCATATCTCTCACGAGTGACAGGTAATCACTCGACTTCTACCGGATCCTATAGCATAGCAATCTACATGATCCTGACATACTAGTAGGACTCATAGGATAAGGATATATATATATGCAAGTGGTTTTCATCCAACTCCTTAAAACTTAATGCACAAGCATAAAATAAGATGCAGAATAATAGGGGTTATTGAAAGCTCTAGTTTGGTTTTGGTGAATTAATGAAACCCTAAGTGCTAACCTAGTTTATCAAAGTGATTATGAGATAGGTAGCACTACTCCAAGTGGTGAAGCAATGGTGATCATGACATGATGATGGTGACGGCATGGTGATGATCAAATGCTTGAACTTGGAAAAAGGAGAAAGAAAAACAAAAACTCAAGGCAAAGGTGAAACTTGATAGGAGCTTTTCGTTCTAGTGATCGAGACACTTAGTGAGTGTGATCACATTTAGGATCGATAGTCGTACTATTAAGAGGGGTGAAACTCGTATCGAAATGCGGATATCAAAGTGCCACTAGATGCTCTAACTCATTGCATATGCATTTAGGATCTAGTGGAGTGCTAACACACTTGAAAATGTTTGTGAAAATATGCTAACACACGTGCACAAAGGTGATACACACTGTGTTTAGCACTTGGGAGCAAGGGTTCGAAACTTCACCGGTGGAGTGTCCGACCGGACGCTGGGTGAGTCCGATTGGACGTGACCGGACACGTCCGGTCGCGAATTTCCACCTCTGGAAGCTTACTGGAAGTGACCGGATGCTGGGGTCTTGCGTCCGGTCAGGCGTGACCGGACGCATCCAGTCGCGAGTGGCACCTTACTGGAAGTGACCGGACGCTGGGGTCCTGTGTCTGGTCCTCCACTGTAAAGCATCCGGTCACAACTTAAGTGCACTGATGACCATTGAGATCAGACGATCAGCATTTGAAGTAGGGGCCACGTGGCGTGCATCGCATGACCGGATACTGGGGTCCTGTGTCTAGTCGATCTGACCAGTGCGTCCGGTCGCCCTGATTTTTCAGTGAACAGAGAGCCAACGGCTCTATTCATGGGGGCTCTCTATTTAATCCCCATTGTCAGCTCTAGCTCACTCTCTTGGCCATTTGCATTGACATAGCAACCTTATGAGCTTAGCCAAAGCCCTCCCACTCATCTCTATCATTGATTCATTGTCTTTGTGAGATTGGAAGAGAATCCAAGTGCATTGCTTGAGTGATTGCATCTAGAGGCACTTGGTGTTTGTGTTTCGCTATGGGATTCGCTTGTTGCTCTTGGTGGTTGCCACCACCTAGACGGCTTGGAGCAGCGAAGGAGGATTGGCACGAGTTGATGATTGTTCGTGGCCATCTCTAGTGATTGTGAGAGGTTTTGTGCCTTCCCGGCGGAGCGCCGAAAGGTAACTCTAGTGAATTGCTTGTGTCATTGAGTTACCTCACTTGTGGGTAGGTTCTTACGGTGTCCTATTGTGTGGACGGGGTTCATGCAACACCTCTTAGCTGCCGAACCACCAAGTGTTGGTCGACACAATAGGGACATAGCGTGTTGGTAAGCACATGAACCTCGGAAAGAAAATTGATTGTCTCTTGCCCTTTGGTATTCTCTCGGTGATTGAATTAGTATTCATCTTGTGATTGGTTCACTTCTCTATACGGCGGTATAGTCACCTTACTTACTCATTTACATTTCCGCAAACTAGTTGTAACAAGCTCTTTAGTGTAGCTAGAATTGAGAGCTTGCCTTGTAGCTTAAGATCATCTAGTGGAGCTCTTTAGTGTAGCAAGTGTGAGAGTTCTTAGTTATTAGTGACTTAGTAAATTGTGTGTCTAGTGATTATAGTAACTAGAATTATTGGATAGGTGGCTTGCAACCCTTGTAGAGCTAGATCAAGTTTGCTTTTCGCTATTTGTCATACTAACCAAATTGCTCTAGTTGGTTTATAGATTTTTAAATAGGCTATTCACCCCCCTCTAGCCATATTAGGACCTTTCAGTTATGCACCGGGGCTTGCCTGGGTAAGATATAACCAAAAGTTAGCATTCTATCATAGTGACACGATCATCAAGGCATCATCTTTTCCGCTACCTCGGTTAACTCCATGATCCATCATTGTT